TGCTAATTATTTATATATATATATATATATTATTATTATTATTATTATTACTGTTTTTTTATAGCTGCCTGTCTTGCTTGTGGGAATTTTGTGATGTGTTATCCTGAAGAATCTCGGTATATATACATAACTCTAATTAAGTTGATTTGACAAAATAATAAAATGCTTAATTTTGCACAGCTTCTCAATGGAATCCTTGTATCCAATGTTTTTCCGGAATCTACATGATTGTATATCATCAGTTAGGCAAGGTGCAGCAACTGCACTTGCAAATGTAGTTCAAGCTTATGGTAAGTCAGTATTTATTTAATATAGGATAATCAACAAATTACGTAATTCAAAATTCACTCACTATATTTTGATCAATAGATGATGTTTTGTGTATAAATTGTGTATAAAAAAGCATAATCAGATACAGGCTGAATCACATCTATTTTGTATGAATTAAGGAATATTTCAGAAAAATTATGTACCAAAACTGTATTATAGCATTTTCTCAGTGCCAAATTATTAACCTATTCCCTGGAATTTCTGACATATCTCGAGTCGCCGCGACCTAATGACCTTGACCTGTGGACTGAAGATATCTTGTTTCAGCATCAGATGTTTTTGAAACTAAATGTCACTAGTCGTTATAATTTTTATATTAAAATTAACTTCCAAAATATAATTTTTTTTGTTTTTACATTTATTAATATATCTGTTTTTGTTTGTGCAAAATAAAAAAATAATTTCGGATGATACAATAGCCACGATTTTTTTTTTTTTTCAAAAATGTGTAATTTTCATTAGGCTTAACATCGACAAAAATCCAGCATGGCATGACATACAATGGAGAAAAATTTCAACATGGGGTAGGTTAATGCCAAAATTATGTTCAATAAGTGAAGATGATTCTAAAGTTCATATTAAAAAAGAAAACTAAAAATACAAATCTAGAAGATATAAAAAAACAGTATTGAGAATAAATCATCAAATAAATCAAAATCTGTTACAAGGTGTAATAGGTTTAACAATAATGTATTGATTACTGTACTTTATGGCATATAAGTTGTACCCCACTTTAGTACAGAAATTCAGAATATAAAGGTATAGATTTTACTTATAAAGAAAATTTAGAAATTGATGACAGAAGACAAGAAAAATACAAACAATAACATTAATGTATATATTTTTTATCAACTTGGACATTAATTATTAATAGGACAGTAATACTGGTTTTTAAGTTTTTATGCAAGAATTGAGGAAAAAATTCTTAAAGAAAACAGACTTTCTTTATTGAGCTACCTGGTAGCTCAATAAAGAAATTTGAATACAGAAATTTAATTTTAAAGGGGAGACTATCCACATTTTGGATAAGATAATTGAATCCTTTTTCTTTTATAGAATTATCGCAGAGAAATTTGCATGTATTGTAAGGATGATCAGCTATTGGATGCTTTTCACGTGATTGCTAAATGCTCTAAGTTAGAAAAAATTCGGGAAAGTGTGTTTGGAACTTCTATTATTCCGTTGGAGAATTTTTTGGAACTTATTACTAATATAATGATCCCTTGTACGGAGTGACGTACATCGTTGTTTATTTTGCATATTGGAGTATTCGTTTTTGCCGAAAGGTGGCATTTGTTTTTTCCTTAAAAGTGTGCTTGTGGCTAAGAAGTGTTGGGAGACTATCCACATTTTGGATAAGATAATTGAATCCTTTTTCTTTTATAGGTGGGTGTAATTAATGTTTTTTTCTTTATATAATGATGTTTTTGGTTGGATAGTTCTCCCCATGATGAATTTTGTTATTATGTTATATGTTTATATTTGGATATTTGGCTTTCAGATATTTATTTTTGATGTTTATAATAATACTTGTATAATTTTTGTTTTGATTTATGTATATGTTAATTTTCTCTGTAATAATGGATGGATTATGATATTTTTTCGTAATGTACATGTAACGAATTATTGTATACCCCGCATCATGGACTCTGCCTAGTATGTCTAAATAAATAAATAAATAAATAAATTTTAAAAAATGTTCTTGAAAACTATGAACCTTGATCTGTTGAGTTTATAATTATCATTTGGAGGGGAAAAAAATTTCAGATACAGATTTTGAATTGTAGTTCAATTTTGTATGAGTTATTATGTAAGACATTCAGATTTTATATAAATATTAGTAGAACAGGAATGAAGTTTTTGAGTCTGTATGCCAAAATAGGAATATTTATAAAATAAAATAAAATTTATTCATGTCAAAGTTTTGAGTTCAGAAAATTATTTTTAAAGAAATGAAGTGAATAGACTTTAATTAGAATGAATTAAATAAAGAAAAATATAACTGAATATAAAACTGAAATTAAATCATGTAATTTTAATGTTATCTACATGATATTTACTTGATCACAATGACTGTTGAACTAATTTTGGAGTACTTGATATTCTATATTGAAAAGTAATAATAAGCATAATACAATGATTGCATTATTCTGTTATTTATGATTAATATTATTATTCTAAACATTATACAATGTAAAAGAAATGAAATCATACAATAAAGCATGTCAAGCAAATTTTTCTGGCATGCCACAGGCTTGCCAGAAAAATTTGTCTCTGGACTAGATGCTCTGTCCCTTTATGAAGATTACTAAATTTTTATACTAGTTGAATAAATTTGCAGAATAAGAATTTTTTATTTTATAAAATTTCTCAAACAATGAAAAAATATTTGAACATTAATATTATTTGATATTAAAAATTTGTGCTTTTGTAAAAATAAATAAATACTTTTTACATGATACTTTAAGATATTGAAATTTAAATAAATTGTAAAATTCTTTGTAGGATAAAATCTTCCACTTGTATGTTAAATGTAAAAAAAAAAATATTAATTAGAAAATAAGACTTCTAAAATTTTAAAGCTTTATCTTCTTAATTCTGTAATTTATATTTATTTAATATATACTTTAATATTTACTTTTCATTTTTTTAAATTCATTTTTCAGGTGCAGAAGCATTTTCAATTGTTAGTAAAGAAATTGAAAAGGGTTTAAATAGTGTAGAGAATCAACCATCTGAATCAGAGAAATATGCAAGTTTTGATAAAGGTCTTTCAACTTTTAGTGTTGTAAAAAAATTGAGAGATAATGATATGGAATTACATACAAATAAACAGGTTAATAAATTTCCTTTTAGATATATATAAAAAATTTTAAAATATAATGTTTATCTTTTTGACCAATGTAAAACACTTAAAATTTATTTTATAAAACATTATATTTATGTATATCATAACGCATTTTGATTTTTATTTAGATGTATTCTTGTGGATCTTTGGCTCCAAAAATGGGTCGAGGTGGTGGCTGCTCTGATCATAAATTTTATAAACCATCTGAGCCTTGGGAATTTGCTGATGGGTAGTATTACTTATATTTTGTAAATATATCAATTATTATTTGTATGATTATACCAATGAGCTAGGATATGCTACATAGAGTGGCTGTAGTGATGCCATGTTGGAAGAAAATTGAATGTATGTCTACCATTTTCCTATTAGTCAAAGGATGTGGCATTTGTGTTGTGTAAAGGCAACAAGCTCTAAAATATTCAATCTCATTGTGTAAAAGTGTGCAAAGGAAAGGAATAGTTTTAACTCTTAGCTAAAATGGTACAAGTCAAAATGACCCAACTTAGATATTTACTTTCAAAATTAAAAAAAAAATACAAGATATTTCTTTCTTTTAACCCTTTATTTAAATATTTCCAAACAAGTCAAAATATTCTGTAGTAATAAGTTCATGCATTTATAAACATTCTTAATTTTACTTTCCTGACTGTTATATATACATAATAAGGATTCATTGGAATCCTTTAAATTTAATTCTCAGAGATTTTTTGTAAATCTCCACATTTTAAGACTTTCTGAACCAAAAAAAAAGACAAAAAAATATTCCATTTGTGTGTATTGGTGTCTATAAGAAACTAAATTTGGCATGATAGCTTGTGTATAAGGAGCATTGATGCTCCTTATTGATTTAATAGCATCAATACTCTTTATTATTTAATCGCATCATAGCTCCTTAATATTAAAGGGATAGGGAGATAGAGGGTTGTCATGTGTTATATCTTGAGAGAGGTAGGACTTAATGAAGATGTTATTTGTTATTAACATTCACAATTTTTTTTTAACCCATCAATACATTCAAAACTAAGCTTTTTGCCATTTGATGATGATTAAAAATATAAAAAGTTATAAGTAAAGGTTTCTTCTGATAGTGAGAGTATTTATCACGTCTTTCTTAATTATCCACAATTAACAGACTAAGATTAAAACAGTTCACTTTATTTCATCTGTTTAACAATGCATTTCAGATTGGTAATTTTCCAATCCCTCCTCAGGCTCACGGTTTTGGTGTCTAAGGTTATTTCTACAACATAACAAACAAAAGGTTAATTCATGTTAATATATTTTTGTTATCCAGAATGATCCATATAGTGCACAATTTGTACACATCCTAATGGTGCAATTTCTACATATCAGTCTCTTTCACTTACTGACATGTTTTCTTTCTCTATTTTTTATGGGAAAATGCAACACTTCTTCCATTTCTCATAATTATTAGCTCCTTATTACCTCTTAGAAGAATTTTTTAACTTCACCTATGTGGTTCATAACATGACAAAGGTCAAAATGTAATTTTTCATTGTAAATATTTTTACAGGTTAAAATAAAAATTTTCACAAATAAACTATAACTATAATAAAAACACAAGAACACTGCTTATATTCTGCAAAAGAAAAAAACACTGTCCGAAAAAAATCAATAATGTATGGATGATGATTTGAGTATGGTACAGATCAGACTGACCTGAGTACACTATAAATAAACAATTATATAGTTGAGAGTAAAGCCCTTCAAGACCTGGCTCATACTTAGATTATAAAGATATTGTTATATTGAGGGTTGAGTACTATTTTTACCACTTTAAACTCTGATCTTACCTTCTTTATAATAATTAAATAAAATCTAAAATATAGCTAAATTTGAGATTAAACAATCTAGATTTATATCACTTATCTAATTGCCTAAATTTCAAATCTAGCAAACAAACAAAAAATCTAGATTTAATGAGAAAAATAATTTTAAAGTGACAATCCTGCCCTACACGTGGTATAGACTTCAATGTTTTGACTTAAAGTAAGATGGTAGTCAATAGTACCCGTCATTGCCACCAAGAATACTGTAACCATGGTCACAGCCACTCTATGTAGTATATTCTAGCTTGTTGGATTATACATTAAATTACATTTTTACTTAATCAAGATACATGGTTATGCAATATGTCAAATGAATATGGTTCTGCATTTCCTTTGATTGCAGATATTTACATGTGGCTGTGATAAGATTAATGCAATGAATTATTAATAGTAAGCATATTCATAACTTACAAAGTAGCATCTATATATATGACCCATTCAACAGGTGTCTATCCAGCCGTCCCGTAACTGTTTGATAACGGACACTAGAGGCACCCTTATCGTGTGTCATATTTCAAACATTCAAATTAAATTAACAATTTTAATTATTATTTAAATTAACAATATAAATTATTATTATTCATTTGGCCAATAAATTATTATTTGGTCAATATAACAATATAAAGAATTCAGTATATTTGTAATAGGAATTTATTATTGTCATGGAATGCATGTAATGTTCACTAGGGGGCGAATAACGAAAAACCGGATAGGTTTGAATCACTAAGTAAGACAATAAGGTTTGAAATAATTAAGGTAATATTTTAATATCTATTAACCCATTCAACGGGTAATGGCAATTTGTAAATAACGCCCACTAGTTGATTTATAATGTATTGATATGAAATGAAAATGGTATTTCTTAACAAGTATTAATATTAAATTATTTTTTACTTTAAATTTAAAAAGTTGTTATTATAGCAAAACCTTACTAAGTCAAACTGCTTTAACTTAAAGCTGTCAACAGAATACACAGTATAAAGGATTTTTCATATACTTCTTGTTAAAGTCAAAGTTTTTGGTACTTTTAACACAAACCTATTTCCCTGCGTTCCCTCCATCCTTTGATAAGTTTGTAATCTGCATTTTTCTTAAATTCCATTTGAATAAAGACAATCAAGATAAACACACACTACAACACCATGCCATTGCAACTTTGCATTGACATCCTTTTACTGACACAGTATGTTACCAGCATTCTGATTAGGACACAAAGGGGGCATCTTGACAATGCACTCAAAAGTTCCATAAACTGTATACAATTTTTTAATCATTCTATTAAAATATTCTTGAGAAACTTCTTGATAATGGAAAATTTATGGCCATGAAAAAAATCAGAGATTAAACTCATTAACTTGAAACTGTAACTCAACTTTAACTTCTTAAACTTTGACTTAACAAAGTTTTACTATATATTTTAATAAATAAGAGTGAAACATAAAGTATGAAGTAATTCTTATAAAGAATATAAAATTCACAATATTGCTACAATTGCTTTATGGCTACATATTATGTTGAAGTAACAGTGAAAGTTTTGAGACTAAAAAAGTTTAATATTACTTAATATTTTTGATAAAATATCTTCTGTACAGTACATTATAGAATTGTTCATATTAATAAAAATCCATCAGTTACATATTGAAAATCTTCCATTTAATTTCATTATAGACATACATGATTGATTTTTTCAAAGTAAATTAATTTTTTCACAAGTTTCTTCAGTGAAATGTATAAATTTTTAATTCTACCTTAATAACTTAGAAGGGGAAATACTGATCTTTTTTCAAATATTTTCCTAACTCTAAGAAGTGAAAAAGTGAAATGGCTTTTTTTTGTGCAGATATGCTTTGTAAATTGAATATTTTTATGAATTTTATATAGCAATACAGTCAACTCATGTTAATATGAATTTCTAAGAGAACAGTAGTTAGTTTGCTTAATCAAAAGTTCATATTAATGAATTTCAGGGTCAAGGATGAGGCTGTATAATTTAGGGAGTTAAGTCTTAACAGACAATCAAAATCTCTAAAATATAATACAGTACAGTGATACCTCAATTTTTGTTGATAATTTGTCCAAAAACAACCAGCAAAAACTAAGGCAAATATTTCCATATGAATTAATGTAAATCCAATTAATTCGTACTAGACACTCCAAAATACATACCAAAATACATTTTATAGAGAATAAATACAGTGTTTAATACTAAAAACAATAAGAAATTAATATAAAATGAATATAAAAGACTAATGTAAAGTATAAATGAACATTCAACATGGCATTCAAAGGGCTGCTGGCTATGGAAACTTTCTTTGGTACCATGATGGAACTAAAAAAGGGGGGAATCATTGGAATTGTTTGGCTAGACATGCAGGTTAATGTTCACACAGACAGACAAAATAATCTTTATTCAGCTTGATACCACTAGGCACAATTGGGAAGAAAATGCAGAGCTTGCATCTGTGAAACATGCCAAGTGAAGTAACCAAATAATACCAAAGAAAATAAACATAAAAAGAAAAATTGCATATATACAAGGAAAATAAGATAGGATGAGTTAAACAGACATTGTGTAAAATCAGTGATACAATGAATAAGCAATATGATTCACGTGGAGACAGTTTAACATACTATATACAAAGCAGATAGAATCGTGTATATACAAGGAAAACATAATGGTAATGCTCACACAATGAGAAACAACACCACACTGAACAGGAAACACACTTTGTTTTCACAAAATTAGCAGCGAGATCACATGGGCACGCTGATGAAAACAGACACAAATTTTTTGAGAAGATTGATGAAAACTGAAGTCAATGAAAACCATGGTATTACTATATTTTGAATTAATTTGCTAAATAAAGTTAAATAAAATTAAATTTATTAACAAAAACAAATTCTAAATGATTTTTCATATTAAACAAAATGAGGAGGAGATGATATTCACCATTTAAGTGTGTAGTATAGTATATCAGAGTGGTTAAACAAAACAAAGCTAAAAGAAATTCATAATTTTTTCCTGTTGAAAATTATTTTAAAAATTAGAAAATATCTTTGGTGCCAAAAGAGTAAAAAGAAAAAACAAATTTGGCACAACCTGGCATCACCATATGTGCTCCCCAATATGCAAACTAGCACATACTTGCATGGGACCACATCCATATAAAGAGGTGGGTGTCCTTAAACTTTAACCCCTATTTTCTGAGTACAGTAGAATGGTCTGCCAAAACCAGATGTTTGAATTCCTCTCAATCAGAGATCAAACCCATCTTTGTTTATTAGGAGAAAATCTATTCTACTTAAAACAGAACATTTATTACAGTACTAATTTTTATTGTTCATGTCAAAAACTGTAAAAAGCAACCATAAATGGAAATAGGATTATATCTTACGGCTATGGAGTTAATTCACAATTTTGTTTAGTGAATTCTGGTAAAATTTTTGTTCGCTTTATCACATGAAAATTAACATTGTGACAATGACGTTTTGCCAGGGTGATGGCAAAATTAGAATTTATTGGCGTTTGCTGTAAGGCAAGTTGACTGTATGTATTCAATACAAGATAACTAAACCAAAAATACATATTACAATAATTACAAATGTATCATTATACCTGGCAAAGGAAAAAATTTTTTTATATGATTATATCTGATAAAAGTGTATGTATCAAATTGATTGAGATTTCTAATGCATTTCAAAAATTTTCAAATAAATCTAACATTTTCTTTAATAACTATGGCCAACTCAAATGCACTGGTTTGCATTTGTTCACTGTAATCATTGCAATGTGTATCATCCCTTTAATTACTTTTTAAGGAGTAGACACTGCCATATGTATTCCAAATTAAATTTTGTTATGCAATCTATGTCTGCAACTTATAAATAAAAATATCTCAGCACAAAAACTCTTTCACTTTTTCATCTTAAGAAAAATTTGAAAAATTCAAGCATTTCCATTTGAGATGCTTCTCTTATTATATCAAATAATTTTTATATTTTATAATAATTTTCTGTTGTTATATTATTCTTATTGATTATATTTCTTATGACAGATGTATTCATTTGGTTGCAGTGTTATCTCAAAACACAGCATTTTCAAAGGAAATCATAAAATTTCTTGATTTGATAACAAAAGCAGTGAGTTATCGACATTATACACATCATTTATCTCTCCTGGAAACATTATGTCAACAAGTAAGATACATATTTTTTACTATACAGTAGTTAAAATTTTTCAATTTCAAATTACCTTTCCCATCATACCATTTTCATGTTATCATCCTTGATTCTTATTTAAACTTATAGCATTACTATTTATTATTACTATTATTTATTCTTAATCATTATCATTATTTTCATTACTATTTATGTTTTGTTATACTTATAATAAAAGTCATTATTTAAATATTTTAAAAAATTGTACATTTTGTCTTCATTTTATCAGTTTAGAATAAGACAAAATTATTAATTAATAACAATTTTTGTATCTGTTTACATTAGTAAAATTGTAATGATTAAGAAGTGGAAAATTTGTTAGAAATGATAACAGTTATTCTTAAATATCTTTAAATCCTCCAATTAACTAATCCTTAAAAAATTAATTATCTTTAAATTTAAAATAACATAAGTTACTTGAAAATTAAAAAAAAAATTTTATTATTATTGTTGCAAATGTCATGCTCAGCTGATACTGGTGCCAAGTGCTATGCTGCAGTAAAGTCAAAATATAGCTACCCAAACAAGTGTAACATTAAGTTGTATCATTGGTATGTGTGTCAACTTCTAGAAACTTCCTAACAATGTGACATATTGTATTTAAAAGCTCAGAGTGTAAGTTTAAAGGTATGTGTTACTGAAGCTATAACTCTGTGTCTGCCAGAGTTATAGCTTTATGTAATCTTGATGTTTCTTATTTTTTGTGGAAAACTGTCAGTGTCAGAATTTGTAATGCAGGTTGACTATATTATTTAGGCCATGGCCATTTTCTTTACAAGGAAGAGTTAGTGTTTCTACATATGATTTTGGATGATATTGTTTATACTTAGCAAGTGTTGTTCTTGTTTTCCTTTGGAGATGCTCGAGATCTGTGCATATCCAGTGTATAACTCCAAAAGAATAAGTGAGTACAGGGACAACTTATGTGTTAATAGCTTTAATAGTATGTTTTGCATCTAGGTATGTTCTTAGTACTGCATGTAATCTGTTCTGATATTTGAGTGTTAATCTTTGTTTTATCTGTGCATGTTCTGTAAGTTTGGCCTGTTGGAATCCTAAATATTTGTAAAACTTGCCTTCTTCCATGGATTCGATTTCTCCACTTCTGAGTACAAAGTCTCCTTTCTTCCGAACTTCTTCAATGTGTAGTGTTTTGCATTTGTCTAGACCAAATTCCATTCCATTTTTACATCATTTGAGTTTGTATGTGTACTTTGTAAGAGATGATGAAGCTGATTTTGTGTGTATGTGTAAGTTTGATATCATCCGTGTACGAGGTGTAATAATGTGAACTGTTATTTTGTTGTGTCTGATATTGTAACCATTTGTGTTTTGTTCAATGTGTTAAAGGGTTAAGTGCAAGGCAGAATCAAAGAGGACTCAAGGAATCTCCTTGAAAAATTCCTTGCTTAATGTATATTTGATTTATTTTTATGTGAGTGTTATGGAGGTTAAGATGTAATGTTCTCCAGTGAAGCATGGTAAAACCAAGGGAACTAATGAGCATTTTGTAGATGCAAAGTGTGTGCAGCAGCCAAGTGTGTGACACTGTCAAATACTTTTCTGTAATCAATGTATGCCATATGTATGTTTCTGTGTTGCTTATGAACTTGCTGTAGGATAACAGAGTCAACGAGTAGTTGTTCTTTGCAACCTTTGTGATTTTTACAGCAGCTATTCTGTAAGAATGTTGTGTATTTTGTTTGCAATGCAAGAGGCAAGAATCTTGTAAAGTGTTGAAAGACATGTAATTGCTCTGTACTATGCAGGGTCTTTAGTGCTGTTGTTTTTTTGGTTTCATATAGGTGATGCCCTGCATGAGAAAAATTGGCATGTCTGTTGATGATATAAGTTAAATGTTTAGCTAGTTCCTGGTACAGGGATGTCTATTTTTTGTACCAGAAATTGTGAATGTTGTCCAGTTGTGTGCTTTCTGCATTGTGCAATGGACGTCTTATGTATTGATTTCAACACAATGTATACTAGTGTAAAGTACTATATTATTTTTCCGACTTTTCCAACGATTATCGACACAACTGTGTGCCAGAAATAGCCATTCCCTAACTGGTACTTTCCGCGGATTCGCGTTAGTGTGCCAGGCCTGGACTTTTAGCGTGCATCGAAATTAAATAATGACCAAGTTTGTCAATAACAAATCAAATATTTAATAAAAATTCTAATAATAATTATATACAATATTTAGTAAAAATCAAATAACAATTTATTCAATGAAAATCAATAAGAATCAACCCGACCAAACTCAGATCAATCTATTTTCTAACTTAATTCTATTCCCCTTTGGAATTTGACAAAATCAAAGACTTAATTTATGTACAATAATTCTTATGAACTAAAGATCCCAAATGTCACCTCAATATACTAGGAACCTATTTCCTCAACTCTCAAGACTTTCTCTATTCGTCGATCCACAAATCGAATAACTTCAAAATCGCCTTGGAACTACTTTATCCTATCAGACACCTCTCTCTCATTTGCTGCTACGAAGCTCATGAAGCTCGTTGCTAACAGAAGCTCACCTTGGTCATCTTCACTTGACATTCGGACTTTATACTGTGAGGTGACGTCACAATTCTGAATGCAATCACTCCCCTCATTTACATACTTATTTGCTAACAAACTTTTTTCTGTTTGTCTGGCAGCCTATTTTCCAACAATACTCGCTAACCTTTAACATTATTCTTTTTGACTATTTTCGGGTTGTTTTTATTCTTTAAGGTTTAGTGAGTCCCTAAGTTGTGCTTGTGGGGTCTCCCCCTTTTCTTGGTGCAGACTTACTTTTTTCCACTCAGGAGCGCAAGTGTGAGCGAGTTTTTCTACGGCGCTTTTCTCTCGTCGATGAGTTGGTTTCTCTTCTAATTTCAAGTTTCTAAGGTGAATAGTGAGGAAACCTTCGTCCTAACAAAACATAAACCCCAAACAAAAATATAATAAAAAGCAAAAATAAAAGTAAATAAAAATAATGCTCGGACTTGGTTCCTTACACCAGGTGTGTCCTGCATGTCTTTGCTCTCTTCTTTGATCCAATCTGCATGACAGCAGTAGACCGAAAAGAAGATCAATAATTTGTGAGTTCTCAGTTGGCATGTCATTGTGTTGGGAATCAGTAGTGGATTTGGTATTAACTTGCCTGTAGATGTTTTTCATTGTTTGTGAATAATTTTTGTTGTTTCCATACAGAGTAAATTTTGTATTATTTGAATTTTTGTGTTTTGGCTGCAAGTTTGTTTCAGTGTGTCTATGTATTCTGAGATGTGGACATTGTGTTGATTGTGCTTAATGTATGTTTTAATTTTTGAAAATCTTTTTTAGTTATTTCATTAATTTAGGTGTTTTGTTGTTAGCATATTTTGTCAGCCTGCCTAGCTGCTGTCTAATATTGTTTATTTGTGTTTCTATTCTTCTTTGCCAGGCAAACTTCTGAAGGGTTTTTGATTTGTATGCTTCTTTCTCACTGTGGATGCAGTTTTAGTCCATGGTAAGTCACTACTGTGACTGCACCAGCATAGACAAGTGTGTGAATGTCTGAGAGAATAGAAATAGAATGAGAACAATCTGGTAATATGTAAGTGTTCACATACAGTGTTTTCCCTAAATTTACAGGCACTTAACCCTGCACAATGGCCACGTTATGCGTGGCTATTGTGCAGGGTTAGTGCCTGTAAATTTAGTGATTGCTTCTTGGAAAAGAAGAGAGAGAGAGTATGAATTAAACCTGAATCTATTTCATGCAGTGAAGAAGTGTTGATATTGTCAGCTTCAGTGAAAATAGTGGTGGTAGGAACAGTATTGTCAATGCATGTATCTTGATGATCCTGATAGGTAATGAGATTGTTGTTGATGTTGGGAGTATTTGTTTGTTGATTTAATTGTTCTGGAATTTGTTGTTTGATATGTTTTTGTGTTATTTGTGGTATAAGGTTGTTATGTATAATTGTTCTTTTTTTGATCAACAACTCTTTGTATAGTGACTGTGAGATGATAATGTTGTGAAAATAAGTGATGTAACTGTTGTCTGTATGCTGTTATATCTATTTTGAGTATTGTGATGGTGAAGTAAGTATGGATGATAAACTCGTTCATTTCTGATGTCCATTTCATCCGTTGGCATGGTTTACCTGTCTGGCAATGACTGCTCCATATTTATTTCACAAAGTACAATCCATATTAGATAAGGTTTATTCCTTGATATATAAATTCTGTAATCTCCCTTATATTGATAACCCTGATGTTGCTAGAATTTGCCTTGGTCTACCCAATCTCTCAGATCATTTGAAATATTCCAACCACATACTTTGTTATAAATATTTTAATGGTCAAATCTCAAATTACTGGCTAAATCTTTGCATACCCACTGCAAGAACTCACGATAATTCCTGTTTTTTCACCCCATTCTATTGCCTTGCAATTTTTTATTGCATAGGATCTATGAAATAAAATACTGGACTACTGGAAATACATGTGAATAGAACAGTATTTATATTGCAATTCCAATTTTTTTAAAGCTATATATTATAAAGAATGGATTTACACTTAATGTAATTGTACTTTTGCCTTGTTATTTATTAATGTTACATGGTACTTTTACCTTGTTATTTATTAATGTTTATTATTTTATTGGGGTGTTTTTTCTTTTTGTTTTACTGGGGGTGGAAACCAACTGTTTTAGACATTTCCTAATGTAGATATAAATAACGCAGACTTAAATGATATTACAGAATATGTAAACAAATTATTACTATATAGACAATATAAATTGATAAAGAAAAAATCAGGGCTGTGGAGTCGGGGTCGTGGAGTTTTGGTGTTTTAGCCGGAGTCGGAGTTGGATGGTAAGGAAGAGTCAAAGTTGGAGTCGGTAGATTTTTACGCGACTCCACAGCCCTGGAAAAAATACATACATACATAAGTATGAGTCATAGTTCTGTAAAAATTAATAAAATGAGAATAAATTACATTAATGTATTGAAATTTTTTTTTAGCTACCCAATATTGCCCGTGGAATTGGGAAAAAAGCATTTAAGCTTCATTTGGAAAATTTTTTGGACGACATATTCTATAGCTTGGTAAGTTACTAATTGAAAATATATAATTCATTAAAAATTTATTTATAAATCATTTCCCTTCCAAATTGCTATTGTTAACACAAGATGATCACTGCAAATATATCTGTTGCAACACATTAAATTTGTTTTTGTGAAATTGAAGGAAATATTTTAAAAATATTAATTTTTCCACTGTTTATCCTTATGCTTCAAAAACAGTATAATAATAATAATAGAACATAAATCATATATTACAAAAATACTAAGAATTAAATCCTATATTTTATGATTATAAATTTTCAAAATTAAAAAATATTTTTAAATAGTTACATGTGTTTAAAAACCAGATCTTCTTTGAAATAGTTTTTTTTTCTATAATAATGTTATAAGAATTATAATAATTGCATTTTTCTTCAAAAAATTAAGAGAGCCTTTATTATTATATCAGGACAGTGATTCCCAAACTTTTTTGAGCCACCACCTCCTTGGTTCCATAACTTATAACCAACACTCCTATCCTATCTTCCCTTGTGTGAGAAAGGCTTGGAAATATTCTTAGAAAAACTTTTCTATGAACTTCACACTTACTGTACATTGTTCTCCACATCTGGAAACCATTGAACGCAATGTTTCTTTTACCCATTTTAAGAGGAAAGGGGAAGGTTGTCAGTGACCACAACCCTCACCTATGATTACTATTCAGTACCCTGCCTCCAACACATCCTGCCACTCACTTGCTTCTTTCATCCACTTTCAAAACCAGTCTTAGGGTGGTAGATTAACAAATAATATACACTGTAATCTTAATTGGTTTTATTTAAAAAATTATTTTGATTAGCTTTTATATTTCATTTTGTAGCATATTTATTTTTGCTTCATTATTAATTCTAAACTTTATTCCATAATTGACATTACTAAACAGTTTGTTTTTTTTATGCCTACTAAAGAAATAATAATTGCTATGAACTTTTGCAATAGTCATGGATAAAAAATAAGAAACACATTAATTGAAAATATTCCATAAAAAAATAAGAGACTTGAAAATTTTTTTAAAATATTTCTGTATTTCAGAGTAGTGAAAATCCTTTAACATCAAGTGCTGCAAGTCAATGTCTTAATCAGCTGTCCACATTTTTAGGACCTTCGATCTTAAGAGCTCGTGTGGAACAACACAATCCACAGTAAGTAATAATACCATTCTGTTCAAAATATATTACAGCATACTTCTTGTTAAAAATTTGAGATTTTTACTCTATTTGTAAAGTGTTAAGAAACTAAATTGACAAGAAAGTGGAATTTTTTTTGATAAATTTGTTTACTGTTCATATAAAATTTATCTCATTTGCATCAAAACTAATGGCATATTAGAATTTATTTACATGTATATATTATAAACAAATCTTCATTTGAAGTATGAATTGAAAAACTTTTTCAGAACTACACAGCACTCCTGATTACATAGAATTTATCATTTTAAACAGAAATATATGAATAAACATCTCATATTAAACTATCAAGATTAATTACTGATGCATTTTGATTAAAGAATGAATTTACATGCATATTTTCTATTTGTTTTTTTTCATTTTATAAAACTATTTGTTCAAACTATTTTTATTGTTGCAAATATATCATCTGGATTAAGTGATATTTTTTACTGATGAATTTTATCAATAAATAACCAGGTGAAATATTTTCTAGATTTGCAACTTTCAGATGTATTTTATTACAATGAAAATGTTTCAATAATCCAAGTTCTAACTTGAATTTGTGGTTAATTTGAAGTGAACCATTGAATTTATAGAAATAATGTAAAAATTCCTCTTTAATTCAAATTTGTTTTGGATAATTTGAAGTAGAATTGTGAGAAGTTTATGAAAAATCATCTGCAATATTTAGATAAAATGTGTGTTTATGAATTAACATTTGTAACATTGATTGGAAAATTCCAGAGTATAGTATGCAGAACATTTCTTAACTTCAGCTTATTTTAAAATTTGCTTTCTAACTCAGAGTGAGGTTGAGAACAGTTAAAGCATATCTGAAGTTTCCAAAGTTAGATGGTCATTAGATACAGGTACAGTAGTTAAAAAGTTATTACCTCACAAAACTGGACAAAACACTTAGTATAGACACCAACAACCTTGATTCAGCAATAGGTATAATTCTTCAAAAACAAAAAAAAATGAACATTTTCAATCTTCTCCTAAGATCTGCTTCAGACAAAATGTATATTCTAAATTGGAAAAGATTTTATTTTAAAATGTACTTTCAAATGTATGTTTTGTTTTTTGGAGAATTATACCTATTGCAGGACCAAATCATGGTTGTTGGTATCTATGCTGATAGGTACAGTAGTTTTAATGCTAATGTTTTTTCACCAGATAAACCTGTTAGAATGCTTGTGTACTGTACTGTATATTCAGTATCTAGAAAAAGATTATAAAACACTCCAAAAAAACAGTACTTTAATTGCCTAATTTATTTAGCCAACTTCCACTAAATTTTTTTGTAATTTTACTTCATAAAATACACTGACAGATTTTGCAATTGAATTTGTAATTGGTTTAATTGTGTTAAACTATGTTTGTGAATGTATGATGTATAGAAAACTACATATTCTTACACCTATATGTGAGCCATTCAGCCAAATTAACTCCTTTATTACTGTAACTTTTACATTTTTGCATAATTAATCATTATTCCAAGGATATATGTCATAGATAAAAGTTCTGCTTGTAATAATACATACTACAATGATTTTTAAAATTCCTTTTAAATTTAAACAAAAGATGTATATTATTTTATCAATTCTTCTACTTTTTTGTTTTGTGGAGTTAAATCAATTAACAAATGAGCAACTCATGTTACATACATGTACACTACTATATAATTCTTGGTTTACATCATGTCCAAACCACCCATTCTCTGTACAAATCAACAGTCAGTTCAACTATTCAAAATTTCAGGCTTTCTTAAAAAGATGTAGTGAAAAAGTATTGTATTTAATTTAAAAAATAACATAATACAATACAGTACCTGTACTGTAATGAATACTAATAAATTGTTATAGTACTATATGTTTTGATGCCAATATTCAAATCGCTCAATTTTTTTGGTGGTCTCTTCAAACTTGATATTTGAATTATCCATATTCTGCAGAGACTATTCTGAAATTGTAGTAGTTATACCCATAATTTGTTATTTCTGCTATATTGTATACACAATTTTTTGCTAAGAATTATATATTAATGTATATGTTTAAACAGGTTTATGAGAATATAGCAAGGTTCTAAGTGCATTGAGGAAAATCTGAGAAAAATTACAATGTGTTTTTTTTTTTAATTTACATTCTTTAATCCTAACATTATAATAATAATATCTGCATGAAATAAAACTCATTCAGAAAATTATCATCTGAAAATAAGCATGCTGGATTTGTGTGTTGCCTTTGAACTTGCTCATTCTCTTTTAAGCATGAGATTAGTTTGTCTGTAAATTGTATTAAGAAAATATTTATTTCATTCATTTCAGATTCTTACAACAGCTTGATGCAAATAGTCACATTGCAGGTTTATAAAAACTAAAGACTATTTATTTTTAGTAGAACATACAAATCACATATTTACAAAATCTTCATCAAATGTTTGATCAATAATCTAACCAATCCTTCATGTATTGACAAGTGGAAGGTGAAATTGCTCCTCCTTCATGACAGTCTTCAAATACCTATAATATTGGTAAGTCTATTTTAAAATTATGTTGTCACATAAACAAGAAAATTTTATTAAAACTCACTGGACAAACGCTACAAGGTATCCGCATCAATCCCGTACTCTGAATTAAAGGATCTATTGACCTGTAAAGATTTGTCATTCCATTTTTGTTGTGTGAAGTAGTGGCTGCTACAACTGTTTTTTCTGCTTTGCCATCATATATAAGTGAATCTAGAATATTTTCTATTTCATCCAGTTTCAGTTCAACCTTAAACAAAACATTAAAATTTATTATTAAATCTTTGGAAATATGTTTCTTGTATTGTATATATTGTACTGGATTTAAGAATACTATGCAATTTTGCTGTGTTTTTTTCTATTTCTGTAGTTTTTACATTCTATAATTATGATTTTATTTTCATTAATATTGAAAGATTATAAAAATGTGTATAAAACTAGCATAACTGTTGATGAAATGTTGTACATTAATTAATTTGATGTTTCAATATTGCAAATAAAAAATTTATAAAAATATAAATCAGTATCATTTTTAAATATACTAAATTCACACAAGTAAGATTTATTTAGATATAATACAAAACAAATTACATTCCTCTGTTGTAAAAAAATGAAAATGCCCTGAAGGAGAAGACAAAGTAATAAAATTTTTCACTCTGATTTTTAAGAGTTCATACACACATTTGTACTCATTCACCAATAAATGTGATGATGAATGGCAGTGATTTGATTTTAGAAATCATTCATTCCATGAGAAATAGAATTATCCTTGTTCCTGCTTTATGATAACACTAGCTGTTACCTGCAGCTTTGCCTGCGAGGATTTTGCAAGCAAACCCCATTTATATTCAGTATTTCAACAACCACAGTAATTGTTATATAACACCTACCACTGAGAATGATGAGAACTGCCAAGAATCAAACGAACTGTTTTCAATTTGATGAATTTTGTGGAACATGTACAATTGTTCTATAATCAAACCAATAAGCAAAAAAAAATTCAAATTTAAAACGGTCCGAACATTTTTAAAATCAAAATAGATAACATTTCAGACATTGTTATATTTTTATCAATTTAATACACCTAAGTACTCAATGAAGACTAGACGTAGTTGAAAACGAAAAATTGCATCTAAAATAGTACAGTAGAAGCCGTTCTTCCGGTTAAGCCTTAATCCCCCTTGCGGGGGGAATTCCAAAAAATCCCTTCTTAGTGCACGTTTTCATGACGTAACCTAACTGTGTACCAAATTTTACCTCTTTAGGTTCAGCAGTTTGCTCTGGGCGATGATGAATGAGTCATTCAGTCAGGACAAGTAATTTTATATATTTAGATATAAGAATAAGTTCCTTTTCTTTATATTATTAAACAACTATTTACTCTTTACAAGGGAAGAATAGAAACAAAATTGAAAATGAATAAACAACAGTCATTAATGAATGATTAATGACATGAAAATATCATGCATCATTTGGACATCAACACTGTGAATAACACTTTTTTTTTTTGTCTCAAGCTCTGGCAAATTTGATTAGTCTAACCAGAAAATTATGAAGTCCTGGACAAAGCAATGATATTTTGGTTTAGCCAAAAATAATAAGAATAAAAATGCATAATTATTTTAATTTTCAACAAATTATTTACTAATGGCATTTAATATTAATTTATCACAATTCAATTTTTCCATTTTGCTATGCTTCAGAACCTAGTACAGTAGACCCCTATAAAACGGGTTCCTATAATTACGATTCCTACAAGACAGCGAAAAAATTGCGACGGTATCCGTAAAAAATGGTAAAAAAAAACTCCTATAATTACGTAAAATGTCATCGGGCAGCCAAACTACTTTCCGCGCCGTCAAGCGCCACACTACGGAGAGATTATCATCTGTACAGTATTATATATAAATTAGGTACTGTACATATAATTATATATTAATTATATGTACAGTATTAGGTATTGTATATATAATTATATATTAACTTAATTTATTGTAACTTTATTATAATTATATATATATTTTCCACCGCCTGGCGCCACGCTATGGAGAGTTTAGGCGAACTATCGTCTGTACAGTATGTAAATAGGTACCTTAAGTCTAATACAGTACTGTAATTTTATACATTTCTTGTGAAAGAAACATTTCTTATTCAACGGCGATTAAAATTATTTATATTAATGATGTCTCCAAAGTTCAACGAAGTTTTCGCAGAAAAATAACATCAGAAATCGCGGCCGCGGTTTGCTGAGCTGTTCCGCGACGAAAACAAGCTTGAGCAATGGCGATGTCGAATGGTGCACACTCGGTAAGTAATCCTACAATTTTTTGTTTATAGCGTAGTTTATACGGATTATTTCCAAAAAAAATATACGTATTTTGGAAATGTTGAGTCGGATTAGTCTAGAATTGATTAATTTTATGGAAGAAAACCTTTCAAACAGCCGTAGTCTGTAAACTTGACACATGTCGGGCTGTGATTGGAAAGACTCGTAAGAAATCGGATTCCTAAAGAATGGAACGTATCTACTGTCTTATAGGGGGGGTCGACTGTATATGCATCAATCATGGCACACAGAACAGTAGATTACCAACACACTGCACTACATTTTGCATTATTAATATTTTAATTTTACTAATAGATATTTTAATATAATTTGTCTGAAATTTTCATCCGTGCACATAGTAGCCTTGTTTTTCTATTGAAAGAGAGTAGTATGACTTATTTTTTCTTGTATACACAGCAATTTGGCTGGTGCTTTTTGTAGTTATCTGATCAATCACTACATAGAAATGAAGTAATGTAAAATAAAAGATAAAAAGGAAAACATGTTTTGAAGTTTAACACAATTCTTTTGTAACAAATCATTGCATATATATATGCAAATTGTGAAGAAGCAAGCTCTCCTCTCTTTCTGTTTTTTTAGTTATTATTTCCCTTCTTCCTCCAGTTCCCCGAAGGACCTTTTAACCCCTCGCCTTTCTGCATCACATCAAGAATTGACCTTCCCAAATTTCAAAGACATTTCAAACGATTGCCGAACCTCTCCCCTTGCAACCGGGGATGATTCATTTACACCTTCGTTACCATTTACAAAATAACTAGCCAATTAACAAAAACCTCACATCATTATACGATAGAGGGTAACCAAGAAGGTCACCTGCAAGTGGAGTCCAAACCAAACCAAACCACCCACTTCCTACTCCGTCCAATTCTAACAATGATAAAACTGATCAGATGACCCATCAAATGAACAATTATTACTAAGGTTGCATTACATACCCTAACCTTAGTTACCTCCAGCCATTAATTCTGTTAGTTTGACAACTGTTGTCACTCTTTCTAACTCATAAATTTGATAATACCAGATAGAAGTAATAAATATACCAAAATGTTTATATTAATTGTCAGAAATCGAAACAACCTCAGGCAAGTCGAACTTACATGGAATTGCATCAGAATGTTCCCCGATCTTCCTTCCCTCTGCGGGACGGGTATAAAAAGGGATTGTACTCGCACCTTGGGGCAATCACCAAAGGGAAGACACCAGCTAGGATCCTTTCGAACCCCTGCTCCGTGCTCTGACATACTGATTCCTCAAATCTTGATCGCCATGGCTAAAAAGGTAATCTTTTGGAGAACTCTAACTCTCGCTCTCTCCGTTATAGATTAACTTAGGCTAGTTGAACTTAAAAGATATTGGGCCCTATAAAGGACAGAATTTAGATGACTTATTGATGATCGTCTGTCCTTGTCACAATTCAGAAGCATTTTTGGATTATTCCCTTTTTGTAGCCTTTGTACTCGTTTATATAGCTTATAGATAATTAAATATAATAACAACATATTTAATTATGTGTCATCCTTGAGTACGACCGACACCTCGTCACGACCTCGCTCACCCTCCTACTTGTTTACCACATCAACCATCCCTGACAAAGAAGCCAATAAGTGGGGAGAATCTCAGCACTCTAACCCCCTCAGTTCACATAATACAAGTTAATAAAGCATACACACACTATATATATATAGTATGTTTTAAAATTGATTTATACATACCTTACTAATTCCTAATTTGGTAATATATTCTAAAACTTCTTTAGATGAAACATAAGATGCATTTCTTTCAGAAATAGGATCCATACATAGTGATTTTGCATTATTTACCTAAAATATATAAATCCTTATGAAGCTATATTATTCTTAATAATAATAATAATAATAATAATAAATAAAATTTCTTTATATAAACAAGCATTTACAGTATAAAAGCTTTGTTATTGCTTTCTATTAACTAACTTTATTACTACCTATATCATTGGATTATTTTGGTTTGATTATACAAGGGCTATTTTATTTGCAATGACAGCAGTGTTGGAACTTGTCTTTATTTTATTTTATAATTAATGATGATTGCAGTCCTTTGAGGTAGTCTTCACTTTTGTGAACAACCTTATGCTAAACTTCTGCAACGTATATCAGCAGTGTTACTTTTAGCTGGTATCTGAAGAGACTAGCCTAAGAAGAAAGGAAGCTGTCAGCATCTCTGAAGTGATGTCTCTAAGTTCTTTTGTTTTCAGGAAAATGTCAAAGTCACTTGGACTTATGTTGAGTATGATGGTTGTTCTTGTATCTCCCATTTCCATCTGCTTAGAAATGTTAGCAGAGAACATGCTCCTTTAATTTTAATGTACAGTAGAGCATCGATTATCCAACCCCCGATCAACTATCACATCGTTAACTGACCATGTTCTAGTCGGCAAATTCAAATGTCCGCTAGTGATGTGGCGTTACAATATTTGGCTATGTCTTGGCTACTTTAATATTATTTTTGTTACATTTTTGCATGTTTTAGCTGGCAACACTGGCTCGACCATGAAAGGGAGGCCAGTATTTAAACAAGGCTTAATTTTCTAATTATGAGTGGTTGTTTGTTTTGTGAGCAATAAAATAAATTATACTTTTTGGCCGGCGATGCCAAATTGCAATTCGTTCCAGACTGCATACTATTAATAACAAACAAAACTTACTAATACACCTTATCTTGCAGCCGAAGTTTATTACTTCAAACGTTTGAAGTAATAAACTTTGGCTGCAAGATAAGGTGTATTAGTAAGTTTTGTTTGTTATTAATAGTATGCAGTCTGGAACGAATTGCAATTTGGCATCGCCGGCCAAAAAGTATAATTTATTTTATTGCTCACAAAACAAACAACCACTCATAATTNTAATATTACTAATATACTATACTAATAATGTATTTTTTCATACTTTTCAGTTATCTGACCAACCCCAGTCCCCAATTGAGTTGGATAATCGATGCTCTACTGTATTTTGGTTAGCTATTTGGTCTTAATTTGCACAAATCTTTTAGAATCACTCCAGGAATATAATTCATGCATAAATCATAATCACACTTTATTCTAAGCATTCTGACATTTCTGATATTAGTAATCATCGAAGACAAGTCTGTCCAAAAGGGACCACCATTTATTTTGTATTCCAGGCTTTACACATACACATCTATGGCGACAGGCCTTCCTTTCTGAATTTCTGATATTAGATTTAGAGATTTTGAAAAATTTATATGGTAAAAAAATAGGAATTTCCTCCCTAAACTGATAGATACTTTTAAGAGAGAGACTTGCATAAGTTCAATTAATGAACTGGCTTAATAAAATTTTTCCATAATATAGTAAATTTAAGAGAATAGCCAGATAAAAAGCTACTAGAAATTTATCATTGTATAAATGTGATGTTAAGGAAAACTTTTATATTAGCCAAGCAGAAACTTAAAAACAATATAGTAACTTCAAAATTTTAATTTTTAAACAAACCTTTTGTTGCAAATACCTATAACATTGTTGATTTAATATGTCAACAAATTCAGATTCAAATTCTTGATCACTATACCAAGCACCTCCCGTAACTGAACGATCTGGTTCTACATTATATAGCATATAAACTTTCTTCTTTGAAGCCTAAAAGTTTTAAACAGGTAAAATTAATTTATTGTAACAAATCAACTAAAAAATGAAATACAAACTTAATATTTTGATTAATATAGTATGGTTGCTGTTTATTCAATTTCTATGTACAGTAGACCCCCTATAAAACAGGTTCATATAGTTCGGATTCCTATATGACTGCGAAAAATTGCGGCCGTATTCGTATAAACACACTAAAAGAGACTTGTACAATTCAGTAAAACGTCATCCCCGACTCGTGTTGCGACAGGATTGGTCAAATCTAGACCAATAGCGGATATTGCACAAACCGTTGAGTTTAAACGAGCAGCGGACCTACTAAAAACCATTTATTATTTAACGGCCATAAAAATTATATTTATATTAATGATGTCTCCAAAGTTCAGCGAATTTTTCGCAGAAAAATAATTTATCAGGAAGCACGCAAGCGCCATTTGATGCACTGCTCCACGATGAAAACAAGCTTAAGCAATGGCGTCATCAAGTGGTGCACACTCAGTAATCCTGCAATTTTTTGTTTATAGCATAGTTTATTTATTATATGTATTTTGGAAATGTTGAGTCAAATTAGTCTAGAATCGATTAATTTTATGGAAGAAAACCTTTCAAACAGCTGTAGTCCGTAAACTGCATACGTACCGGGCTATGATTGGCTTGTGTATTTAAGGACTTGTAGAAAATGGATTTCATAAAAACCAGAACGTATCTACTGTGTTATGGGGGGAGGTCGACTGTATAACGACCTTTTAATACAAAGAATTTTCTTGGTAGACGATCTCACAGCTTTTTGGTCAGAAAACTACAGTTTTATTTTGAAAAAATTTGAACTACAAATGCATTTCGGGTTGGTTTAAGTTTCCAACCCCTCTTCAGTGTTGTTAAAATATATACAAATTGTAATAAAGGATATGACATTATTTATGTAAGTATTTGTATTGTAGAAATCTTTTTATGTGATGTTTATATCTCACAAAAAGATTTTATATTGATATTTTATATTAAAAGATTTATATTTTACTGAAGAGGGGTTACAAACTTAAACCAATCTGAAATGCATTTGTAGTTCAAATTTTTTCAAAATAAAACCGTAATTTTCTGACCAAAAAGCTGAGATCGTCTACCAAGAAAATTCTTTGGATTAAAAGGATGTTATACATAGAAATTAATATTTTGGATTTTAAGACCTTTCTGATTATCTTAAATAATTTAAAATAGTGGCTATTAATTATTTATTCTATATTGAAAAAGTCATTAAAGACTACAGTTACATTCAAAAATAATGATTAATCAAACAAATAAATTGTAAAAAATAAGTTTTCTAATTATTTTTTTTATTATTAGTTTTAAAGCAATTGTAATATAATGTAAATTCTGTAAAATAATTTAAATAATAAAATTAAAATAATTTTTTAGTCCAGCATTTCCCTACAACAGCACAAATCCTAAAATTTTAACAAAACACTTTGATGTTACATTGATTTATTGTATTCCTTTATTTTACTTACTATTTAAGTGTTAGGAAAAAAAAACAAACATTTATTCTCAGATGTTAATTTTACTAATTTTGTGTGTTTTATTTTAAATAATTAACTAGCATATATATAATAAAATTACATTCTTAATGACTGATGCTTTTGGGTCTATGAATCAAATTCTTTTGATATCAGGCACAACATTAGAAAGTTGAATTCTTTTATCTGATGCAGCATCAAGTCTGTTCTTGTACTTTGATTTTGTTAGCAGCATAATATGAAAATTCTGCCTCGCATAAATATCTCATTTTAAATGATAAAACCAAAAATAACTAGATAACTAGTTTTGACACATTGGGATACTCTAAACCATTTCTGGAGAAATTTAACTGAAATGGCAATTCCTTGTATTTTTGTTGTAATTCAGGGTAACTAATTAAATCAATTAGATTTTTGTAATCACTTGTGCTGAAGCCTGCTGGCTTAGCTGTCACTGTAAAGGTTTCTGAACCCAGGAATTGTCCTCACTGGATTTTGGAAAATATTGCAAAAGGTTTGATTGTAAGTACATTTATAAACATTAACAGAAACCTGATGCATTGCAATGATACAGCTTTGATTCTAAGTCATGCAATTTACGGCAGTTGTTGGTATGTCATTACATCTATAAATATCTCAAAGTCCACTGTTTTTAATAATAAGCCAAACAATCACCAAATTATTTAGAATTTGATTATTAATAGTAGCAGTAGTAGCCCAATTCAATACGACAATTGTTTGGCTTTGATTCTAAGTCATGCAAGTGTTCTAAAATTACATTAAAAACTACTACTACTACTACTATTTTAGAATTTATTTCAGTCAAAGCTTCACTCAAGGCAGGAAAACAAACAAAATTATTCTGTTCAACTGCAGAAATCCAGAATTGTAATATTCTTTTGTTGTAATGATAAGTTAGTTTCATTGCACTTTGTAAAAATATCTGCCAGATATGCAAGGCTCATCAACCAGAAGAATTTGTTAAAAATTCAATAGAATTTTGTCCTAAATTATGTGATGTCAGGAGTACCAATAACTCACTATGAAGTTCAAAAAGCCTCTTGTACTTTTCCTCTGGATGGCCATTTCATTTCAGTATGTAATAAAAGTGCAATATGTGCACTACCCATTTCAATGCACAAAATTTCAAATAATCTGGAGTGAAGTGGTCAAGATTTTACATTGATAATTTTTATGACTTTATCCAAAATAGTTTTTAAATATACAGGTAGGTAATTTTTTTTTTTTTTGTTACTAGTGTAGACATTTGCATGAGTAAACCTCCTTCAAAACTTTTATCAAATACATAACTGTGATATCTAGATTCACCCATCTGCAATGCATATTCACTGCAAATTCTTCTAAGTCAATGAATTAGCTTTCTCTATGTCAGCAGAAAGATCTTTGATATGGCAAATAATATTCTTTTAGCAGCCTGCTGTGTAACATGCATGACAGAAAGTCTTTCACACAAAATTTTATGAGTCTCTCTCCAATTGTATGAGCTTCACCATTAAATGCAATACAGTTAACACATACAAAAAGTTCTTTATGTTCTTTATAATCTAATATTAAAGAACAAGTGTCATAATTGTTCTTTAATATTAGATTTTGAAGAAACTACAGTTTGTAATTCCATTTCTTCTCCAATATAGATGTGTTAGCAGAAACACTTGCCCCTCATATTAAATTCCTGTCTTTAACCAAACATTCATGGGTAATTTTTGAATAATATTTAACTTCTAATATTTGTTAGAAGTATAACAGAAACAAATATTGTTTTTCATATTAAAGTTACCTTTATAAAACAATTATAAGATTATAAATAAGAAATGTCAAATAATATAAAAGTAAATGTGAATTGTAACAATGCTTGTAAGAAAAGTAGTAAACTGTGTCAAATAATGTAAAAGCAATTGTAATAAGAATGATTAATTTTTGTTACTGAACATTTTATCAAAACAGTTCAAAATAAATCAGAGATGTCATTGTAGTATAATATAGAATCAAATATAAAATAGTTGAAAGCACTAATACCAAAATAAATGCTAATTAAGGAATAATTATAATAATAACAAATTATAATCATTATTCTAAAAGAAAAATTATAATAATAAAAAGTGTTCCAGGCTAATATTACTTTTGATAATTTTTCACAGAACATTTATTCACTTTCTGTGGAATGCTGGTGTTCTACAGAACAGTTTGGGAAACACTGCATTAGTCATTAGCAACATGTGAGTGTGGAAAAGTTATTAGAAACATGTCACCATGCTCAAGTTGTGTTGAGAATGTCATATCATCACATCACAAACTCATTCAGTAAATGGTCTAACAGAACAAGTTGAGACCACATATGCTCAACATGTTTGTGTTTCTACACACATCACTTGAGACTAAGCATCCAAAAGTGACTACTATGACTGTTGGTTGGTTGGTTACTTTGTTTGTGTTGCATTGTGTTGATTGCCTTAGCCAATCAATCTGTCAAGAAGGAAGCCTCCCAAAGATTTTCTAAGGGAAATCAGTCCTATTTAGATATGAGACTTGTGAAGAAAACCCAGAAAATGCCACATAGCCCTTCAATCAGGCATGAATCTGAAACCAATTATCAGTGTTCAGTAATTTTAACTACTTGACTACTGATTGATATTATGTTTGTTATCAATAAAACTTCAATACAGTAGACTCTCACTAATCTGCACTCTCAATTATACCACATATTCTCAAGTGTGATCACCTATATGCTTTTGTTTCCATGAAAAGATTAATCATGTCACACATCCTGTTTTCTGTTTATTCAAGTTTCATTTCTATGCACCATATTATTTGCCATGTCTCCAAAAAGAATCAGTACTGAAGGGTGACACATCATGTATTTCATTGCCTTTAGGCTTAGACACACACAGTAATTCAGTACTAATCTGGCTCCTCTCTGAGCAAGAAATGGTTGGATTAGTAAGAATCTATAGTACTTGTAACATTAAATCATATAATACTCAGTAACAAAGACTTTTGTTTCTAGACTATTCTTGTGTATATTTATTCATTTATTGTGTTAAAATAATCAAGATAAGTCTAAAAGGATTTAGTTACACAAAAAACAGTTTTTGACAAATTTTACATAGAGACTGAGTCTATAACAAAATATAATTTCATTTTCAGTTAGATATCATAATCATATCTGTTTTAATTGATAATACAGTAGAGCATCGATTATCCAAATGCCGATCAACCAAAATGTCGGTTAACCAAAAGCGTTCCAGTCGGACTGTGTCATGCTGAATCAAATGTTTTTGATACTAGACTAACTTCTAAAGTATAAATTTTTTTGTTTTTATATTTTTCAATATATTTATTTGTTTGTACAAAATAAAGAAATAATTTTTACCGATACAATAGCCATGATTATTATAATAAAAATTTTCATTAGCTTAACATCGACAAAAATTCAATGCAAAGCAACACACAATGAAGAAAAATTTTAACACGAGATATATTAATATACTATTATTGGGGTATACTAATATACTACATTAATAATGTATTTTTTCATACATAATCGGTTATCCGAAAAATCAATTTTCCGAACAACCCCAGTCCCAATTGATTCGGATAATCAATGCTCTACTGTATTGAAAAGTATATAGATAAAAGATAATGCTTTGATAAGAATATTATCTATTTCCTAACATATAATTAGAAATCTTTAGAAGTAATCTCAACTACCAATTTTTGTCACTGTGACTTATCAAAAAAAAAAAAAATCTGACAAGACAAATCTGTTCTCAGTTACTTAAATTTCTTTTGAAGTCTTTTTATATTGAGAATTAGTAACAACTGTCAATTGGGACAAGGTAAAGATTAGCCAAAGATCAATTGTTACCATACAGGCATTATAAGCAACTATGTCATGTTTACATCAACTAATTTCTTACCAACCTTAAAAGCTTAAACATTCAAAAGCTCCAAATGAATATTTTTAAATTTTCAATTAAAAAATATACATTTTATTTAGCATCTATAATTGACACTTGTTTTTTACTTCAAGGTTTTAGTAACACAGTAGAATCTCATTTTAATGGACCACAGAACAATGGATTTCTTGGAATAACAGGTTTTTCCCCCCAGGTCCCACCAAATCAACGTAATTTTACCTCCTTTTAATGGATCTGTAACATGGAATAATGGATTTTTTCTAGCCCCACCCATTGTAAACATTGTGTTTTATAATGTTTAGTTAATATTTGGGTGTTTCTGGAAATTTGTAGAGTTCAATGATCCATTTGTTATATCTGGTATATGTACAATTGAACAATTGTACATATACAAGAATCAGCAGGCTGATATGAATGAGGAGCTATCTAGTGAACATTCTGATGCTGGTCCTGGTGTAGTGTCAAAACTTAGCAAGGTCATATAGTCTTTCCAAGTTGTGAAGACCCTCCCAACGAGTTTCAGCTTAAATGAACAGGCTTTACTGTATGTGACATTGCTAATATTAAGTGGTGATTGAATTCAATAGGCAAAAAAATGGATACTTTTCTAGATTTGCAGAAAATCTGTTGTTTGTGATATAAAGGATTCTCAGAACAACAGATGATTTTCGGTGGCCCAAGAGATCCATTAAAATGAGATTCTACTGTAGCTAGAGTGTTTTATAAAAATGTTGGAAATAATGTGGTCAATCAATTTAACTACTGGTATGTTTCATAAAGCATATCATTGTTAGTCATTGAACATGTAACATTCACTTACCGAAACAGATTTGACAGCTTTAATAAACTTCTTACTTTCTAAATTCCGAAGAATTTTATTTACTTGAGTAAGTAATAGATTACTTTTATATCGTATATCTCTTATCCATATTCCTGAAACAAAATAATATTTCAAATATTTATTATTAATCAAAAATTGCATTTAATTAAATAATCATCTATTTCAAAATATTTTATTTATTAATTAAGCTAAAAATTTTAAAATATTACATTTGAAACTATCATATCATAATTGATAAAGCAAGATGACAGAATTAAGTGTAATCTATAATTTCATGTATAGTTTATCTCAATATATACAAGGACTTTTTGTAAATCAAATTTTATGTAATGTAGAAATGGCTAATAAAATATTGCTAATATATCATTGATATGCCAAAATTACAAAGACTTCATTATATCCTTAATAAAAAAAAAAAGTATTATATATACATAACATATATATATACAGTAAGACCCTGCTTAATGCTGTTTCAGTATTACATGGTAGTATTGGAATTCCCCAAGATCGCACGCAGTGTTGGGATTCCCCAAACACATGTTTGCTGTGTCACAGTTGATTTATGATCGGTCATCAACTTTATTGTGTATATAAAGATATAAACATTTTATTTTATTGTGATAAATACAGCATTTTTTAGTTTTTACAATGGGTGATTGCACAGAAAAAGCATTTTGCTGGAAACTAAAATGCAGTTGCTCAGACGATTAGATGCGGGTGAACAGCAATCTGATATCGGCACTGCATTAAATTTATCAACTTCAACAATATGGACAATTTTAAAAAATAAAGAAAAAATCATATCATCAGCAACTACAACCACAATGACTTCGGCAACAAAAATTACCCGTACCAGAAGCAATGTCTTTGAGGAAATGGAGAAATGACTTTCCATCTGGATTGACGATGAAGTTGAACGCAATATGCCATTAAGTCAAGCAATTATAATGGACAAAGCGAGAAAAATTTTTAACCACATTCAGAATGAAAAAGGTGACACGAATGAAAATTTCATAGCTAGTCATGGGTGGTTTAATCAATTTAAAAACAGAAACAATCTTCATAACATACAGGTTACTTGAGAAGTGGCAAGTGGAGATACAAAAGCAGTTGCAGCATTTCCAGCAACATTAAGAGCAATCATTGAACAAGGGAATTATCCTCCTGAATTAGTTTTCAATGTTGATGAAACGGGCCTTTTCTGGAAGAGAATGCCAAAACATACATTTTTATCCCATGAAGAAAAGTAAGTATCAGGATTTAAAGCTACAAAAGATTGTTTAACACTTCTACTGGGTGGTAATGCTAATAGAGACTTTAAATTAAAACCACTGCTTGTTTATCATTCCAAAACCCCAAGAGTAATGAGGGGAATTTCAAAATCATCTTTACCAGTAATTTGGGAGTTCAGTAAAAGATCTTGGATCACTATGAAAATTTTCCAGAATTGGTTTACCAAACATTTTTGTGCCCTTCTGTTAAACGCTACTGCGAATTTAAAAAACTAGAACCGAAAGCGCTACTTTTGATCAATAATGCTCCAAGCCATTAACGCATTTGTCTGACTTAACAGTATGCATTCCAGTATAAGTGGTTTTCCTGCCACCAAATACAACTTCATTAATCCAACCAATGGATCAAGGCGTAATATCAAATTTTAAAGCTTATTATCTGCGGCAGACATTCCGACAACTGACTGATAAAACAGATGGAGCAGATAAACAATCCATTAGAGATTTTTGGAAAAACTATAATATCATGGAGGCTGTAGACAACATCAATCTTTCCTAGAATGAGGTGACCGAGAAATGTTTGAAAGGAGTATGGAAGAATGTATGGCCAGAGCTAAGCAAGGATGTTGACACAAGAGAATCCATTGTTAATGTCGATGAAATTGTCAAGCTAGCTAGTGAAACAGAGTTGGATAATATAAATGCGCAGGATATTGAAGAATTATTGCAAGTTACAACTGGAGAAAGTTTTTCCAACGACGATCTTAAAGAATTAAGAGAACAACAGGTGAATGAAGATGACAAAATTAGTATTTCTGAAGAGGAGGAACAAAAGGAACTTTCAACAGATTTTCTAAAAAAAGTTTAACCACTATAACGGAAATTATGGGTCAGTTTATACAAAATGATTTAAATTTTGATAGAAGTTCAAAGGCAAGACGAAGTGTCATGGATGCGATATCTTGCTATCAACAACTGCTTGCTGAACAAAACAGGAAAAGGCAAACAACATTAGATGACTTCTTCACAAAGAAACAAAAGATGTTAGATGAGGAAGAACCTTCCTCATCACAAACATAACTTCTTTACTCAAACTTTTCTTTTTATTTTTATGAATGTTTTATGAATAAATATTGATATTAGCAATAAATAAGTCTATAATTAATGTAATAAAAAAGTATTTAACAATAAATGTTACAAAATAAAACAAGAAAACCTGATAAATTTTCTTATTCACTGTTTCATGTATCCCCATTATTTACATGTTAAGATGACCCTGTTTAACGCTGTTTCATTTAGCGCTCTGTCTTCTAGAAATGCTTCCCCCGTGTTAAGCGGAATCTTACTTTATAGCTTTTTTTTATTAAGCCATTTATTAATTTTTTTCCAATTTCTTAATTTCACAATATTTTATTAGCCATTTCTTATGTATCATTCTAACTACTTCACCTCTCTTTATATAAGACTTTTATGATATATATTTTATATATCATAAAAATCTTATATAAAAAGAGGTGAAGTAGTTGAAATAGTAGATAAGAAAAGATATTGTTATTTTTTAGACCATTTTAATACTTGATGATTATTTTCTGACCTAAATCAGCCATATTATGATATATTAAAATCAATTGCATTATTATAAAATTATATGGAAAATTACTTTAGAATTGTACCAAAAAGTGCAAAATTATATACTTTGGGCTTACATAAGTTGCAGATTATCAAATGTATATCAAATGGTAGGGAAAAAAATAGAAAATCTTGTGAAAAAGTGTGTGTAAATAAATTATTTACAAAAAATTTTTTAAAATGTATGAACTTTTTTATATTTAGTTTGTCATAAATATTTGTTTTGCTCTAACTATGCCCAATGAATTTAAATTTCCTACCATACAACATCATAAATTTCTTTTAAGAACTTCAGTTTAAAATGTTCAATATTCAATTTACATTCATATTACATGCATCTTTCCGACTATTATTTCATTTTCAATTGAAAACTATTCATGTATTCAATGATACGAATCTATTTAATTTGTCATGTTACTGTATACATATTTGCAATTTAATTTAATTTGTTAAGTGATCTTTAATCAACATGCACATTATAATTTAGAAATTACATCATTAAAGTTTAAACATATTAATTTTTAAACTATATGGTAAATAAATTAAACTTTTTTCTAAGACATCTATTCAATACATTTGATTTTTAGTGAAATTAATTAACAGTTTCAAAGAAACAAAAAACAAATTATCATCCCATAATTCTATATCATCATTTCTTTTTCAGATAAAAGTTTGTCTTACAATGGATAATTTAATCATTATTCTAAGATTTATTCTAAATTATAAAATTTTAAAATTGGGCTTAAAATAAACAGATATTATTAAAAACAAAAATGTGTGTACATTAATATAGAACAGGGGGTCACCAAACTATGGCCTGTGGGCCAGATCTGGCCTGCCACTGCACTATGCCACAAATGAGCTAAAATATAATTATTTGTATGAAAATATCATAGATTGTAAAATGAACTTACTATGCAGAAAAAATTAAAATAAGTGTAATAAAAATGCCAAAATTGGTCCAATCTGATTTTTACATTTGACAGTAATATAATTTTTAGGAAAATCAGTGAAATAAAAAATTCCGTGACTTTGGATATCAGAGCACTTTTTGCATAAGTACCTGCAATGAAGTTTCTAGGAAAAGCAATTACGAGCTTGCTGCAGCGATCATGTTTGTATATTGGTAAATAAATATGTTGGTTTTCTTTACTTTTTGGATAAGTACACTATATTGAACATTTTGTTCAATATAGTGTTATGCATCCCATGCTTGTCATTCTCTGTTATCTAGCCCACTGTGAAAAAAGTTTGGTGACCTTTGATATAGAAAATCAAACCCTAATTAAGTTATTAATAATCAAATGATGAGGCTGGATTTGTTTGTGTATTTATTTATTTTTTTTTTTTGGATACCTTGTAATCTTAAAATTTTTGAATTTTATGTGATTTAAAAACATGATTCTTTTATATTACAAGGTTCATGTAATCTATTACATATATAAATAAGTGTAAAGATATATATATATATATACATATCTTATCTTATATATATATATATATCTTATATATACACTTATTTATAATTTTACACTTATTTTAAATAGTTCTACATTTATATATATTTGTTAAAATGTTTCTGCATATCATATACAGTAGAACCTCGATTATCCGGACCTCTATTATCCGGATTTTCAATTATCCAGATTGTTCAAAATAAACAAAAATTTTACGAATTTGCTGATTTGCATTTGGCAAATTACGACACTGTTTATGTACGTGAGGGAATGCATAACTTTTTTTGTTTCAACGTCTCACCCAGCACAGTGGTCGTAAACTCTTAAATATATCTTGTGTCGTAATAAAAATATAACTTGACATACGTATTTATAAAAAATTTTATTTTCAAATTACATTATTTCTATGACCAAGGGCGGCATAAGGCNAACTCAAAATATATTTAAGAGTTTACGACCACTGTGCTGGGTGAGACGTTGAAACAAAAAAAGTTATGCATTCCCTCACGTACATAAACAGTGTCGTAATTTGCCAAATGCAAATCAGCAAATTCGTAAAATTTTTGTTTATTTTGAACAATCCGGATAATTGAAAATCCGGATAATAGAGGTCCGGATAATCGAGGTTCTACTGTATATGATATGCAGAAACATTTTAACAAATATATATAAATGTAGAACTATTTAAAATATTTTGAACAATCTGGATAATTGAAAATCCGGATAATAGAGGTCCGGATAATCGAGGTTCTACTGTATATGATATGCAGATACATTTTAACAAATATATATAAATGTAGAACTATTTATTTTCTTCGTGTTTTTATTCTAGACTAGCTGTGTTACCCATCATTGACGGGAGATACTTATTTCGTGAAATTATATTTACTTACCTGAAGAGTATATCTGCAGAGAATTGTTTGTTACAGATTCATAATATTCCTATTAAAGATGTGGAATATTTTCTAGATAAACTTATTGAATAACCTGCTGATATACAACATTTCATGTTTTATTATCAGGGGCACAAATGAACATAGATTTGCAGCTACTAACACTTGAGAATGCAACATAGAATTGACCATGTGAAAAGCAACTGCATCTGAGGTCAAGTCCTGCGACTCTTGGGCTTTGGTCTTGTCACTTGTTAATGGTCATTGCAAATCATAAACTGACTGGAAATTGTAGATGTTGAAATTTGAATGAGTAGTTTGTTGGGATTAGTGGTATGCTATTAAATGATATATCTGTCCTTGAATTTTGAATGTTGGCATGAAATTTCTTTCAAGTATTTTAGTGGCACCAAAACTTGTGATTTGGAAGGCACTATTGTAAGCCCTAATGTTCTTTAAGAAATGTTTAACATCAAATTAGTCCCATTTAATAGTGATAGAAGAGGTTTGGGTGACAAGAACAGCATCCAGTTTATGTTTGCCAGAAGAGCAGCACCCCTCCTTTGATTCATTCTTCTACTTCAGAGCACTGCAATACTCTATTATGCCACACTTTATCCATAGCCCAATAATGGCTGATGATGAACAGTCTAAAAGAGTGTCATAAATGAAGGCATTTCAGAATTTTTTGCACCAAGGAATCATAGTACTCCTTGTATGCTTAGAGGCACTTGCAGAATGGCAAGCCACTCTGAGAGTGTGATACTTCAAATATAATAGTAAACTTAATTAATACACCTTTCTTATAGATAATCCCTTGACAGGAAGTACAAATTCATGTGCCACTATCTAGTGAAAAGAGAGACAAATAGACAGAAATCCATTACAGTTTAATCTAATTAATTTAATTGATGTAGATTTTGAGATTATGTGTATCTATAACCCTTCTCCTGAACCAACAGAGTCTAAATATGAAGTGTGGTTAAAATACGTTCAGGCATTTTTCCATGATGTGACAACAAACATTTTGACTGATACAGTTTTATTTATGTAGATAAATACCAATAAATATCAAAGGGGATAGTGGAAGAGAGTAGGTGAGCATACCGTATAGCCTGAACTTGCCAACTCTCTGTGGAAGAGTGAAAAGTGGGGCTTTGCCACCTAGCGGGTGATTCTCAAACTACAATTTAGCAGTGCAAGAGCATGCGTGGCTGCAGGTGGTAAGAATGCAGGCATGGCATCCTGCCAACCATGAGATTCCCACATCATTAATCACTTTTTTCAATACATTTTTTGAAATTTTTATTAAAAATTTGTAGGTTTTTTTAGTGGTAAACATTCAGGGGATCATAAAGATGCTACAGTTAAAATTTGGTAATGATTGTAGTATTTTTCATGGTTAGTTGGAACAAATAAAAAATATGTTGTCTCTTTATATAGTAATATAGATTTAAGTTTATACAGTGATGATTGAAATCTGAAAGTTATTATATTGTTGCTTGAACATTCTGCAGCAGTGTTGTTCATTCCAGAAATTACCATTTACCAAGCATTAACAAAAACATGCTATAAAATGAAACAATGANGAAGGAAAAGATTAAAAAATATAACTCTAACTTTTAACTTCACTTATTTTATTCTAACTTCAAACATTTTCAATCTTTTCAAGGCCATCCTCAGTGTTTCTATGTAGAATTAAATTTCTAAAAAGAACATTGGCTTTTAACATTAATTTTTCAAATCATCCTAAAATGATGATCAAGACGATTCAAAGAATTAACATTAAAAGCAGACATTCCTTTTAGAAATCTAATTCTATATGGAGCAATGAGAATGACCTCAAAAAGGTTGAAAATGTTTTGAAATTACAATATTGATAAAATAGGTGAAGTTAAAGGTTAACATTATATTGATTAATAAGAATTAATCAGTTTCAAAAATTAATAAGATAATATTATATGAGAAGGTAAAGTTACAAGATCTACATTTCAGAAAATAATTTGCAGAACATTGTAAAAATGTTATTTATTATAGTATATTCAATTAATAAGTTAACAGCTACATGTAAATATTGGAGTATTGCAGTTTGAAATGAAATGAATGACTTGATTGTAAAGTTGGTCTCATCACAGAGAAGTTCAAACAGTTACTCACTTTTTACAATGAGAACGACGTAAGTCGAGGTATACCTGTATTGATGTTTTCATCACAAAAAAAAATGTTGATGCTGGAAATCAATGAATCAGCATGAAACTTTTGTTATGGACAGTTTATATTAGAAAAAAATGAGTAAAGCCCCTGGGATGAGCGAGCTGAAGCAAGGGGGTTTGGGTGCCTACTGTGGAAGATTAGAGCAAAAGGAGCAAAGCTAGAGAGCCATCCCTGAGTTGAACAAAGGAAGCAAAGTGAGGTAATTGGGCTGATCCTGTGAGGGGTTGTATTATATAGAATACAATATATCCCTGTGGATGAGCATGTTATATTCTGTATCTAAAGCTGTCAAATGATAAATACGTTATTCAGAAATTTTTAAAGCTATAACATACAGTCACCTAACTAAATTAGCAACACTGTCTTGTATATAGTTTGGAGTTTATTAAATGTAATATGTATGCATGTTCCTTTTAATTCATCCAATTTAATAAAACACAGGATCACAAAATGCTGTTATTACTTTCTTCTTTCTTGACTGTTATGTATACATAACAAGGGAAAGTATTGGAATCGTGTCAAATTTGACCCTCTGAGATTTTTGCAAATCTCCACAATTTGAGACCTGAATCCAAAAATGTCAAAAAACAGGAAAAAAAATTGTGTGTGTGTTGGCATCTATTTCACTTAATATCTCAGGATGGGGTAAAGATTAAGTAACAAAATTTGGCATGGTGGCTTGTATATGAGGGGCATTGATGCTATTAAATTGTGGTGGTTAAAGGGGTGGGGAGATAAAGGTAGTCATGTGTATCTCCAGTAGGATCAGACTTAATGACAATTTTACTCTAAAAATTAAACTTTTTGCCATTTTATAGTAATTAAAAATATAAAAAGTTTTTAAAATAAAATCTCATAATAAAATTGCATGTGGCATCATCTATTAAGTTATATTGCAATTAAAATTATAAAAGTTATTTTCTAAGTAAGATCTCACAATAGCTGGAAAACTTATGCAACTTGTTGCTGGATTTTTTTAGTATTTTTTTATAATATTCAAAAAATAAACAGCAATTAAAGAAACTATTTAATCCTGGAGTCTCCAAACTTTTCTGACTTAACTCCTTCAATAATTCCTCAACTTTTTATTGACCACCCCTTCTTTTTTTGCTATTACAGTTAATAATAAATAAATATGGTGAGCCAGTGTTAATCCACACAGAGTTTTCAAAGAAAAGATCTACTTACAGTTTACATATTTACATCCTGAACTGTCACATACATAACCCATTAGATTAATAATTTTCAATCAACCCCCAACTACTTTTCAACCCCTGAAAATGTCTTTTTGACACCTGGGGGCAATATCAATTACTTTGGGGATTTCGGTTTAATCATACCTGCCTAATGCAAATTACATAAAAAACAATTAGAGCAATTAATAACCTTTATACTGCTATTTATCTATATAATGACTTAAGAGCAATCTGTTTTACCTCAAATTTTTACCTTTGTTTCCAGCTTCTTCAATTATCTGGTAGATTAATTTTTCTTCAGTGTCAGCACCTTTCACTTTTCTGTATATTTTTTTATTTAAAAAATAAATTATCAATTAAATCTTAAAAAATATATTATCAATATTAATAAAAATATTATATAAATAAATACTTCATCTTTTATCAAAATATTTTGGATGTATTGACTGAAAGATTTGTCTTCAGGAAATAAAAATTAATAAGAATTTTTAATTATTGAGACAAATGTCTCAATGCCCTATCCAAAATTCATCTCAAGGATTTTTAAGCTGAAGGAAAAGATTAAAAAATATAACTCTAACTTTTAACTTCACTTATTTTATTCTAACTTCAAAACATTTTCAATCTTTTCAAGGCCATCCTCAGTGTTTCTATGTAGAATTAAATTTCTAAAAAGAACATTGGCTTTTAACATTAATTTTTCAAATCAACCTAAAATGATGATCAAGACGATTCAAAGAATTAACATTAAAAGCAGACATTCCTTTTAGAAATCTAATTCTATATGGAGCAATGAGAATGACCTCAAAAAGGTTGAAAATGTTTTGAAATTACAATATTGATAAAATAGGTGAAGTTAAAGGTTAACATTATATTGATTAATAAGAATTAATCAGTTTCAAAAATTAATAAGATAATATTATATGAGAAGGTAAAGTTACAAGATCTACATTTCAGAAAATAATTTGCAGAACATTGTAAAAATGTTATTTATTATAGTATATTCAATTAATAAGTTAACAGCTACATGTAAATATTGGAGTATTGCAGTTTGAAATGAAATGAATGACTTGATTGTAAAGTTGGTCTCATCACAGAGAAGTTCAAACAGTTACTCACTTTTTACAATGAGAAAACTTATACAAGATGCGTTCCATAAGTAATGCAACTAAATTCATAAAAAATCATTTATTGAACATATTCTTACAATTAATCAAAAATCTTCGAAATAGCACCCTCCTGCATCAATACACTTGTGAAGGCAGTGTTTCCAGGCCTGGAAGGCCTTCTCCAGAATGTCCTTTAGACCTGATGTAACATAAGCCTTTATATTTTCAATCGTGTCCCAATGTTTCCCTTTCATGGCCCCTTTTAAGCGAGGAAACAAAACAAAGTCAGCGGGCCAGGTCAGGACTGTAAGGTGGCTGTGGAACCAATGGGGCGTGGGTCCTAGCCAGGAAATCGTTGACAATGAACATGCTGTGGCTTGGCGCGTTGTCTTGATGAAGTTTCCATGTGTCCTTGATGTCACTTCGTCAGTGCACAACCCTCCTTTTCAGTCTTTTGAGCACTTCCAAATAGAAAGCTGCATTTACAGTGGTCCCGGCAGGTACAAATTTGTGGTGGATAATGCCTCTGACATCAAAGAAGACAATGAGCATGGTTTTGATCCTACACTTGCTCATGCATGCCTTCTTGGGATGGGGCAACTTATGCCATTGGAAAACTCGTGATTTGGACAAGCAATCACTCCCAAAGGCATGCTGAATTAATCTAAAGGTTTCAGTGGCAGACTTCCCAAATTTAATGCAAAATTTGATAGCGTAACATTGCTCCACAAAATGATCCATTGTGCCATGTTACATTAACTCAAAATAGGGTTCACAGGAATGAATGTCCTCACCCACCGGCAGCTTGGAAGCAAATGAGACCAAGCGAGTTTTGAAGCTAACACCCCATGCCACCTAGCACAGCAGGTTAGAACTAGATACGGTGTATCGTCACGTCATGAAAAAATTGGTTGCATTACTTATGGACACACCTTATATATCCACTAAATCTGGATTTAAGTTCTCGCTTAAGCATCTTGTATTCATAGCATTTATCAATAAAATCAAATATAATATCAAGCTACTCAAGTTCTAACATGGATTAGCACCATCTAGTGGCAATGTTTTGAAGTATCTTGTAAACAAAGATGTCAATATACTGTACTGTCATGTGATATATTTCTAGACTGAATAGTTAGATGCAAATCTATGCATGCAATGATATCACAACAGTTAAAAATTGCTTTCAACTTGTTTACTGTCTTGTGAAGCATGGATATGACCTCAAACTGGTATCATTTTTCTGCATGAAACCATCAAAACACAATATATGCAAGAAATTTAAATCCAGCTTAATACAAATTGAAGTAAACAAGGAAAGTATGATATCACATCAACATATTACCAAATGGTTCATACCATTTGGTGTAAACAAAGAGAGCTCAGGACATACTGCAGTTTTATTGGGAGTTTTTCAACTCCTATTAAAACTGCAATATATCATCTCCCATCTGGCCTCCAGTAATTTATATTTCTTTCCATGATTTAAGATATTATACATAGATATTGTTTTTTTTATAATCAATTGAAGAAATTAAACATGCAGTTAGAGTGTAATTAAATCACAGGAATAGAATGAATACAATTATTATACAGTAGACCCCCTATAATTACGGTCCCTATAATTACGATTCCTATAAAACTGCAAAAAAATTGCGACGGTATCCATAAAAATCGATAAAAAACTCCTATAATTACGTAAAACGTCATCGGGCAGCCGAACTACTTTCCCGCCGTCCGTAGCGCCACGCTACGGAGAGATTTCTATCGTCTGGACAGTATTATATAAATTATATATAAATTAGGTACTGTACATATAATTATATATTAATTATATATAAATTAGGTACTGTATATATAATTATATATTAACTTATTGTAACTTTGTTATAATTAAATATATAATTTCCGCCGTCTAGCGTGGCGCCACGCTACGGAGATTTTTACGCTAACTATCGTCTGTCAGTATGTAAATTAGGTACCGTAAGTCTAATACAGTACTGTAATTTTATACATTTCTTGTGAAAGAAACATTTCTTATTCAACGGCGATTAAAATTATTTATATTAATGATGTCTCCAAAGTTCAACGAAGTTTTCGCAGAAAAATAAGTTGTTAGAAATCAGCCGCTATTTGCTGAGCTGTTCCGCGACGAAAACAAGCTTTAGCAATGGCGATTTCGAATGGTGCACACTCGGTAAGTAATCCTACAATTTTTTGTTTATAGCATAGTTTATACGGATTAGTTTCAAAAAAATTATACGCATTTTGGAAATGTTGAGTCAGATTAGTCTAGAATCGATTATTTTTATGGGAAGAAAACCTTTCAATCAGCCGTAGTCCGTAAACTTCACACATGTCGGGCTGTGATTGGAAGGACTTGTAAGAAATCGGATTCCTAAAGAATGGAACGTATCTATGATCTTATAGGGGGTCGACTGTATATGTTACTGTGAAAGACTGAAATTAGAGAATGTCAATATTCTCTGGTGAATGTTGACACATACAAAATACGTTGGTAAAAGACAGAATATTTGGTTATATTATTATACATTTGAACAATCACTGGTGTATGTCGATAAACTCAGATAAGCTTTGGTGGAGGTCGAAGAAATTGTTAATACTTTTGAAGAAAATTTGAGCAGTGGCCATAACGAATACCATATTCCAAAGGAAAATATTGAAGAGGAGCTTCAACCCATCACGTCTTCATATCAAGCCCTGACTGAACAACACGAAGTTATTTCTATAAAAAGAACGGCTGCAAAAGAGAATCTTCTACTGTGAGCAATGAAAATGTTACGAACCTCAAAAAAAAAATTTCCTTCTGCTCAAATTGGTGACACCATATGAATACAAGTCCCTGATGTTGACCGTGGCCATACAGATGCCCGAAATGTGTTGGTGGTTGTTGTTGGAATAGAAGACTTCGACTTTTATAAATTAGCAAACAAAAATGGTACCCTCAAGCAGCTTTATTCCCGTAATCAGTTCGTAATTTGTAAAGAAAAGTTACTTTACTTTCCATAGATGTTATTTCTTCACAAGAAATGCTGAGAGAAGCAGCTGTAGCTAATTCGAAATGTGGAGGGCAAGGCTATACACATTGTCATTGCAAAAAGAAGTGTTCCACAAATAAATGCAATTTTTACAATTGCATTTATTTGTGGAACACTTAGTGTTTGTGTAGCAAGGGACTCATGTGCAATTCAAAGTGCCATAACAGTTTAAGTTGTTGCAATAAATAAGATTGTATAACGTTAATCACATAATTTATGTGTAAGTTTATTATTGTATTATTTATCTTTAATGATTTAGAACGTTTTAGGTTCAACAGTTTATTTACATGTGCTGGTACTTAAGCTTTCTCCTATTTTGACAAATTAAAAAGTTGCATTTTTGTCTTAACGTAATAAAAATATTTTTATTTAACATTCTCCATCAGTGCATGCTGAATGTCGACATTTGCCAGTGTAAGTGAGAAATAACGATATTTAGCAAATATTTCATACATACACGAAACGACTGTGTGAATGCTGACATTCACCGGAGAATGTTGACATTTGCCAGATATCGGTCATTCACAGTAACATATATATCAACAAGTATTTGAATATTTCTGGTGACTGTTGAAAAATAATGTAAAGGTTGAAGTTTCAACATATATATAAATAGTTGGTTGTATATACATTAAAAATATTGTATTTGAAATAAACATGGCAAATTAAAGTTGTATGGTCACCTAATTTATTTCCGAAAAACTACTTACATAAGAAAGCTGAAATTACCATCACTTTTCAACATAGTCACCTGTAGTTGTATACATTATTCACTAATTTGGCACCATAACTACATGGCAACTGCAGACACTTCTTTTGAAGTTTGTCAAATCTGCTGGAAAAGCATTGATAAGGGTGAAACAACTGGAAAACAAGCAATCAAAGAGTTTGTCCTTCAGAGTTGGGAAAAGCCAAAAACCACTAGGGGCAAGATGAATAGGGAGCATAAAGAATCAGTTCAACATTGTCATGAAGAAACTTCTGAACAAAGGTTGCCCAATGAACAGGAGCACTGTCATGATGGAAGAGCATGGCTGTGATTTTTCAGATGTTTTTGCTGCAATGCTGGAAGAAATTTCAAGTCTGTGTAGGACACAGCCATCACCGTCACAACCTTAGGGATGCAGTGGGTGATGATGACACCTTTGCTGTCCTAAAACAAGAATGACTGAGAAGTGAAAAGAAATGATGGGTTCCCATCATTTCTTGGTACTGATAATAACCTGAAATTTCCTCAGTAGAGATAAGCCTGTACACTTCCATTGCACTAATTGCAGTTTGGTTTCAGGATTAAAAAATGGCATCCACATCTCATCCATTGTGACAATCAATAAAATGAAAGCATCATTCCTGCCATCATCTCCTGACACACTGTCATGCATGTAGCCTTATGTTCATCAGTCAGCATTTGTGACACTCACTTGGAGGAAACTTTCCACTTTTCAGGTCTGCATGCAGGGTGATGTTTACAGATTTTAAGAAAATGTCAACTTTTCAGACAATCTCTTCCACAGTGGATCTGCAATCCTCCTAACCAGTTCTTCCACTCATATAATCATGCTGTCAAACTATCTAGTGCATTGCCAAGACTGCTTTGGTTTGTTTACAAATGTTATAAATAAACTTCTTTGAACTGTCTCACCCACAAATGAACATTCATGTCTATTTTCTGCATGTTTCACTCAACTAATGATGAATTTCATTGGGCATTATGTGAAGAAAACAGATGATAACACACTGTTCTGGAACACAAATGTTTCTATTTCAATATTTAAACTGTTTCCAACATCAGTCAGCACCACAAGTGTTCTAAGAGTTGAATGATGCTGCCATCTCACACATCCTTAACAAATGCCTTCATATTTTAAAATGTCTCCCATGTTTCTATCTGCTCTCATTAAAAAATTACAAGACCTTACAACTTGAAAGCACCTTGTAGATCATGTAGCCTTACTTTCTGAATTTTGTACTTTAATTTTATTAACATAACTTTATTCATTAATAACCTCTTAATTTTTAATATTTATTTTCTAATGAAAACTTCCATAGCTTTCAAAAAAAGCAAATATATATAACAATAATATATAAAAAACAAGACCAGAATTTTTCATATATCAGTTTCTTATTTAATAAAACATTTTTGAGAAATTTATTCCCAATCCCAATTTAGAATTACAAATGATTACAGATACAGAATATTGAACTTGCCATGAACAAATTTGAGAACATAAAACAAAGAATGTGTAAACATTTTAAAATTTTAATTATACTCTAATTAAAATATATGACTCTTCTAAAGTCCTAATTATATTTTATTTAATGTTCTTGGATAGTCTATCTTAGAAATCTTGGAAATAATTACATTTAACCAATAATTTTATACAAACTTTCAATAATTAAATACTACTAATCAAAGTAATATCTTACAATTTACAAAATGATTAAAAACAAGACATACCAAAATTTCTGTTATTCATTATTACATTAGAATAAATTCTTATAACAACAAATATTCATTTCAACCAGATTTTATAGTACTGTAACTATTTTTCTATTTATAAAGACTTTTATATTACATGTTCTTTTTGTTTATGCTCCAATCAAACTTTATATCTCAAAATTTACTTGGAGTAAAGTACTATCATCATATAAACTTATTTAATATTTAATTGTTAAAAGTTTATACAAAATAATTGGCTAAAATATAATTATTAGAAAAAAAATCAGAAAAAATTTTGTAAATAAAAAATGAACTTTAAAGAAAGTCATCAAGAAAATAAATTAAATTAATAATGTGCAATTTTTTAAAATTACATGCAATTACATCAGTAGCAGCAGTAATAAAATGATAAAATGTTCAGCATAGAAGTAAAAATATAAATAACGATAAATAAAAAATCTTCTAGTTTTTTTTTTTTTAATATTGATAGTTACAAGTATAAGGAAAATAGTAAGACTACTAAAACATGAAAATGATCTTGCATTAGAAAATTTAACAACAGCTTTTATAGAATTTCTGATAAACAATTAGAAATCTTAGATATTCATTAACTCCTTTTTTTTTGGAGTTTAAATTTCTCATTATTCTTGATTAGATGAGGAAAAGAAATTTTTGAAGTTGATAAGGACAATTATTGATAATGAATAAACAAATTCTGGAATTATTTTTTGTATTACATAGAAATATTCCAGGACAAAGATTTTATTTTCTATCAGTTATTTCCTTCAGTTATAATAAGGATAACTAAAAATATACAACTACCTTAGAACAGTGACCAAATGATCAAACTGTAAATTTATATTTGAGATTGATCTCAGAAGTTTTCAAGCTGTGCTGAAACTGAAAAATTAATTTGTATTGAAAAATGAAATTAAATATATATTGCATATATGCATACATACCTCCTTTTTATTTGATAATATCTCACAAAACCTTTTTTATCATATTATTTATTCAAGAAAGGATTCAAGATACACTTTATCTTGAATTTTTTAAAGTATCTTTGTAAAAAATGTTTGTAATTTAATTTGTAATGCAATGTATGTTTTCATCTATTTCTTTTTTATTGTTCTTTTTATTATATGCTATAATTGTATTTTAGTTTTCAGGATACTTGTTAAAGGGCGGCATTAATCACATGCTTGTAAAGCTTTACCTAAAATAATAATTTAGATAGATAAATATTTTGATAACTAAATAATAGAAGTTCAATACTCTATGTCTGTAATTACTAATAACTGAAAATGGAAGCAAACAAATATTTCAAAAAATATTTTTCTTCAAATAAATTATTTCAATTTTCATCAGTAAATAGTTGAAAAAATAAATATCAATCTTGTAGTGTACATTACTTTTTTAATAAATTTTATATTTCTTAATAATTCTTTTATTAAAAGTGACTACCAGACCAACTGTTAGTGTTAAAAATAAACAATAAATTCTAATATGGAAAATAAATATTAGAATTAAGGATATTTAGGATTACATCTTCACATTAATGAAACAGATTTTGACTATTTTAAATTATGTCAATAAAAGATTTTATCAACTTACATTGCTGCTTCTGGATCTTTTAACTTATATAACAGCTGTTTGCCTTTTTTCAATATTTCTATTTTTTCCTTTAAAAATAATTTGCTATAATTATTGATTTATTATAATTTAAATTTATTTGACTTATCAATGTTAAGTTCTTAATATATAATCATATGTTAAAGAAATAAAAATATTACAATATTTTTTTCATGCACAGATATCTGAGAAAAAAAAATATCACGAAAATGAATATATCACAAAATCAGTGATTAGGTTTGGTTAAAAAAAATGGAATATGATCAAAATGTCTCAATCTTTCTCCTACTCTTAATCAATCTTAAGAGCAGAAAGAGAAATATTGAGAAATTTTGTCCATATTCAAGTTTTAAAATCTAATACAGTTAATAATTGCATAAACTAATTAGAAGTACTACATACATAAGAAAAGAAAAATACAAGACTTATATGGAAATGAGCAAATGGGATACATATCTTGTAGAACAAATCACAAACAGGCTCAGTATATGAAAAGTATATCAATATGAAAAGTAAAGATTCAAAAAGCCAAGTAAGATAAAGACAAAGAAGATATAAATACAGTAAAGAGTTGAAACCCAAGTTAAAATCATGAAATAAACCATCATAAAATATACCACATACAATATCAGTAGAAATTGCAACAATGAATTTATTTAAGCTTTCTATGAAATATGTATAAATATAAACTGGATGATAGTGTAACAAAACAAATCTTTTTATACCAGCAGTTGATTTAATGAAAACTAAATTCTCAGAGGGGAGACAAATGAATCAGCTTGTAGCTAAGTTTGTTTATGTAACATCTGGTCATTATATAAGCTAAGACCACTGATACCCACCCATAACTAATCTACTGTCTAGAAAGAAAATTATTTGACACCTTCCATTCACCCACGTGTGAACTGAGTTTTCACATCAGCAATAAGAATGATAAGCTATATCATCAGATGCAAATCACTCATTTCAACTTCCTACGAAAATCTCATCCTGATTTTTGTGCATCTCCAAAGCCCTAAAAAGTAGTCTATTAATAATTAGAGCTGTGCCAATAACTGATATATCACACTGAAATCAATAAATGTTTACAATATCAATATTCTAGACAAATACTAAAACTATTAAATCAACAGTTTTAGTATACTAATATTTGTTATAAATGATGAATATCAGTATTTGTTAATTATAATAATCACCAACTCTATTTCTTTAAAACATAATAATTTCCCTAGCTGAAGCTGAAGAGGGGCAGTGCCCGAAACATGTAATTGTAACTCATAGCAACTAAATAAAAATGAAAACCGCCAAGTGTTAAAAATAGTAGCACGATTTGTGTTTGTGAATCATATAAATTAATAAAACATGGTTTCAGAAGATTGGTAATAGTGTATTTTATTCTTATTTGATTCAAAAACCACAAAAATAAACATATTAAATTTAAGAAACTCCCTGTAAATTATCTAGGCTTACACTAATTAACATCAGCTTTGTATGAAATTTGAAAGGAAGGTGTTATTTTTAAGGTCAGAATAGGTGGTAAAAGTAGCCCACACTGACTGTCAATAAATCATTAATTGTTTTATTGTCTTGTAAACAAAAACTCTCTTCCTGATTTTAAGTCAAATTACAATGTTATTATTTTATTGTACTCAGAAGAATGTTTTCTTTAATGTTTAATTAACTAGGTTTGTTAGAACTGATTAATTTTATATTTTAGCCACAGTTTAATTGGCATGCTGATAACCCCCGTTTTTATGCAGAATGTTGGTCATTCCACGAAAATATGGTAAGATAACTTATTACAGTGTATATTCTAACATCCAACTGGACACAAAATGTGTAATGGAATTTTGAATCATGCAGTGAGAATCCCATATTTGTGCAATAATTGTCTGATTCTGATTTTTATAAGAATTTCTTTCTTCTAGTTATGTTAAAGTTAAAATATTTACCTAAATTACATAGTGTATGATAAAACCTGTTCAAAATGGAACCTGAATAAAAAGAAAACTAGCTTAAAAAGAAAAAATTCTTTGAAATGAAGCAATTTTCTATGTTGAAAAAGAACCTGTTAAAAATGGAAACCTGCCAAACCAGAAAAAATTTTCAGTACCATGAGATTCTGGTTTACACAGGTTTAACTATATATTTTATTTGGCCCATGAAAAAGAACTATGGAAGGAATGTTGGTAGAATTTACCATTTCAATCAATTATATACAATAAATATATTTTTTTATACACCCACTTCATCAATATTGTCATTTAAATCTATAATCTACAACCACTGTGCACTTATTGTATAGTAAATTGTATCAAATGTAGGTGCACAATGCACACTGCTCATATCTAATAATTAAGATTGAATGGTTACTGAAATTAATAAATAATTACAGTGGGTGATTGGTTAACGAACAGTTCGGGTAGCAAACAAATTGAATAAAGAACACTTTCGAGAAAGATTTTTATGATCGGACAACAAACACTTTACTGAACAAACATAAAAAGAAATAACGGAAAATAACAAATACCAATTGATTTTCCCTTGTCTTCAGGTAACAATACAAAACCTTTTGGATTGCGGGAGATGTCAACATTGGCACTCAACCCAATACCAATCAGATAGTATTCCTCCGAATTTTGAAACTCTCCCTTGTAATTTCAGCTTTTTGTTTACCTTTCTGACAAATAATTTTTTATAGACTTCACGAGACTGTCGAACAGGCACTTGTTAAGTTTTGTGTCGGGGCTTATTTACGAAAGGTGAAAGCTGTTTAACTGTTCCATCGGATATTCGTTAACATTTTAATACCAAATTTCAAATTTCATCCAGGTCTTGCATTTAATTAATTTTTTGTGGGCTAGTTGATTTCTGTTCTCTGAATTTTTGTAAGTGCTTTTCTGGACTTTCTATTTAAAAAGGAACTGATAATATTATGGAGCCTAAAAAGAGTGGAGTGTCAAGAACTGTGCGCACCATAGAAACCAAGCAAGAAATAACAGCCAAAGTAGAGATTGGGCAGAAGATGTCTAATGTTGCTAGGCAGTATGGCTTGAACAGGTCTATAGTAGGCACAATCTTAGCTATGAAAGATATATCAAGAAGTCTCAAGCTGCTAATGGAGTAATGAAAATCACATCTGAGAAATAAAGAGCATGGAAGAGCTCATAATGGAACCCGAAACGGATATAGTAACATATACTTTTGCCATAGGTTATATATACTGAACCCACATTTCAGTTCTAACCTATCAGTAGTTTATTGTGTACTTGGGGAGGTTGACTTGCATTGCAAGTATTTAAACCAGAATTTTGGAATTAAAATCATGAGGTTGACTTNACAAAGTCTTGAAACAGATTATGTTCATTAACTGATCACCCACTGTATACAAATGCAAGATTTGTGTTATTGTCCTTATTTTCCATTTAGGTCTTTTAGAACAGCTTATTAAGGCTTGGATTTATCAGCTTGGCCAAAACAAAACTGATATTTGTGCAATAGGAAAAAAACCTTAGAATAAAGTCTGACTTATTGACAATTTTCAGCTGTTGCTTAGTATCATATGTAGATCCTATTACCAATATCCTTTTTTCGTATGACTTATATAATGTATACAGTTATCTCTTGCTTAATGCAGGATTTGATTAACACACTAAATTAATTGCGGCAATCTCTTTATATACATGGTACAAGTTTTAATTTACATGGCTTTACCAGCTGTCTTTACTTAACATAGATACTGTATTTTAATTAACATGATTTTGATATACAAAGTAGGATTGAGGGATTAATTAATCGTGTTAATCAAGGGATTCCTGTACAGTATTTCATACAATGAAAGATATTACATTTAGGATTTTGATAAATATGGTGTAGATAGTACACAGTTGTACAGTAACATATACTTTTGCCATAGGTTATATATACTGAACCCACATTTCAGTTCTAACCTATCAGTAGTTTATCGTGTACTTGGGGAGGTTGACTTGCATTGCAAGTATTTAAACCAGAATTTTGGAATTAAAATCATGAGGTTGACTTATATGCCAGGTCTAGCATACAGTATATAGTATGTCATCACTCAGCTCAGAAAGGATCATCATATTTGAAATACAGGTTTAATGTACAAAATATTTTAAACATTTTGATAGAATGATACTATAATGGAAGAGATGTTTAAATAGAATCTGTTCAAATTTTGTATGTGTTCTACACACATTCTATATTGCCTAAAGATGACATTAATGCAATGTTGAAAATGCTTGTGAATCTTGTCTAATATTAAAGTTTTTTCTAATTCCAAATGACAGTTTGTTTTTCACATTTCTATTACAATTTTGGCATGCTGTGTGTTACTAAATTTGATTCACTGTGAACCTCCCTATCAAGTTTATCCATCCTCTTGATGTCCTCTCTCTCACACAAAATTACTTAGTTTTTCCTCCTCTTTTGATTATAACCAAACAAGATTGCATTTCTTTATTTGCATTCTTCTTACACCAATCTTTCATCACTGATCATTTCTTTTCTATTCTTATGCATATGCTTTTGTTATGAAAGTGTAAGCAAGCATAGTTCAAGGATAAAGACCAATCCCAAAGAAACAAATGACAAAGAAAGCAAGAAATCTGTTGAAAGTGATAACAGCACTATTCATATGCCACAAAAGCCACTGCAAATTTGTTTTTGCATGAAAGATCAATGTCTGTGAATTGATCTTGAGTGAGTCAGTGAGTGCTCTTTCATAGCTTCCATCATATCTTCTAAGCAAGGTTGAATCCTAGAGAACGTGTCACAAGAAAAAGTGTCAAAATATAAGTAGAAACAGAAAATCTCAATACTTTCTAATATTTTTATTCCATTTCCACATTAACATTAAAATTTCATAGACAACACCAATGTCACCAAAAATTTTCATCATCAGCAACATTTCATCTTTAATAGGTTCCAACTTGAGCAGCTTTCACTATATTATGTAATAATTTCTTATCATTAATTTTAAAAACCTGTGCAATAATTCACTACACAAGCCAAAATCAAATGTTACATAATATATATCATAAATACATAAATAAATATAAATACCCAATTTAATAATTTTAAATTTTTGCATAATTATTTTTTTCTATATTATTGCAATCTTTTATTCAGAATATAAAATTTATTTTATTACAATACCTGTGAAAGTAACCTATTAATTGCTGTTACCACTTGACTAGTATCTGCATGAGGCATTTCCGTTCTTATTAATTTATCTGTAATTCCAGATGCATTATCTTTACAGAGCTGAATTATCCTAAATAATTAATATTAGAAATATTACATTAATATAGAAACAACTACAGTATAATGTTGCAGGTTAAAACAAAAACATGTAAACATAACAAGTAAGATATAAGTTAATAATGATAAAATAAAAACTTGATAATGAAAAACAATTATTATTATTATTATATATTTAAGTTCAATAATCAAGATTATATCAAATTAATTACAAATTGATTTCATTTTATTATATTCACTCCTATAAATAAAATAATCATCTTCTTCATTAACATAATTAACATTGCTGATATTAAATATTAGCAATAGAATAATTTTTATATGAATAAAAGTAAACACAGTAAAATGCATCTAAAACAGAATTTGACAATACTAAACTTAATTTTCCATTTTGATAGAAATTTGTTTTATAGAGGTTTGTGTTTTTCTTAATGTAGGAAAGAGAAAAGTTGTAAAATATTATAAATTACATTCATAATTGTTTCTTTTCTAACATAATATATTATGAAAAAAAAAAATTCTAAATATCTGGAATAAAAATATAAAAAACATACAATATTGAAGATATATATATATATATATATATTATTGCAGTCTTCTTTAACATCCTTTCACAATCACTGGAACATGGGAAGAGCCTATAAAGAAAGGTTGACTCTGCCAATGTTGTTTGTGTTCCAGTGATTGTGAAAAGACAGTAAAGTAGACTGCAAGAATTTTTTTATTTTTATTTTTTTCCTTTTTGTATATGTCTTCAATATTGTATATATTTTACATTTTTTTAAGTATTTTGTTTCAATGTTTTCAACATTAAAATATGTATATGATGCAAAGAAAAAATTCTCTGTAAAAACCCAATTCAGTTGGAATGTACAGTGGGTGATCGGTTAACGAACAGATCGGACAACGAACAAATCGGATAACGAACACTTTCGCGAAAGATTTTTATGTTTGGACAACAAACACATGATCGGATAACGAACATCCCACATAACAAACACAAGAAGAAGCAACGTAAAATAACGAATACCGATTGGACTTTCCTTGTCTTTGGGCAACAATTCGAAACTTTTCGGAGTGTGGGAGACGTCGACATCGACATCGACGCTCAAGCCTGTATATACCGATCGGATAGTATTCCTCTGAACTTTGAAACTCTCCCTTATAATTCCAGCCTTTTATTTTTATGACAAAATAATTCTTTTATATATTCTCGAGACTGTCGGGTAGGCACTCGTTAAGTTTTGCGTCTTTTTTTTTTTTTTTTTTTTT